TTAACATTTTTCACTAATTATACCCCATATTTTCGTCCAAATTTTTTTTGGAAAAGGATATCTTTCTACAAATGCAATTGGAATGTGTTCTAGGGTCCCTTATGTATCTTTCTAGCAAGTTTCAAAGAATTCCATTTTTTGGTCAAAATTGAAAAAAAATGCAAGGCAAATGCATTTGCCTTACATTTTTATCAAAATTTGGCCAAAAATTGACTTTTCTCCAAACAATGCAGAAATGCCTTAGGAAGTCCGGGAAGCACTAATCAATACTCCAACACCTAATATTTTGAAGATTTGGGCAAAAAACCATCGATTTGGGAGAAATTAATTAACATTTTTGACTAATTATACCCCATATTTTCGTCCAAATTTTCTTTGGAAAAGGATATCGTTCTACAAATGGAATTGGAATGTAATCTGGGGTCCCTTAGGCATCTTTCTAGCAAGTTTCAAGGAATTCCATTTTTTGGTCAAAATTGAAAAAAATGCAAGGGGTTACATTTTTATCAAAATTTGGCCAAAAATTGACTTCTCTGCAAACGATGCAGAAATGACTTTTGAGGCAAGGAGAGTATCATGGAATATTGAGACTGCCATTTTTTTCGAAGATTTTGGCACAAATAATTGATTTATTGAAGGAAAAAAAAATCAGATTTTTCACTTATTTTGACCCAAATTTTCGATGCATTGTTCCTGTCTAACGGCACATCTGTCCAGAAATCGAGTTAGAATGTCTTCTAGGGTTTTTAGACATCTTTCCTAGAAGTTTGGCGCAATATATTTTTGGCTAAAATTGAAACAAATACAAGGGTTAGCCTTACATTTTTTTAAATTAAATTTGGCCAAAAATTGACTTCTTTCTACATGTATACAACTCAGAAATGCTATTCGATGCATGGTAAGCATGATTGAGTATTGCAACAACCATTATTTTGAAGATTCTGTAAAAAATGATTGATTTAAAAAAAATAACAAATAAATACATGGATATGTATTTTCCAAAAAAGAAACCGAGGCTAAATAGAAATTCAGAACAAGATTTTCATTTTAATAGTCATGAACATAATAATACAATATAAAAATGCATGCTGTTTTATTCAAATTGACTTTGCATTTAATAGGACATTCTTTAAACTGGTAGTTTTTGTCACGGTGTTGTTTTTCCTGAAATAACTTTCAAGGTTTGTTCTGTTTGGGTTGGTATATTAGGTGAACTATTAAAAAAAAAGAACCAACTTTTGAAAATCTATTTTTCCAAGAAAAAAAAGCAGATATTTATGTTGCACATGGAAAGACTCATAAATATTTAACAAATCACGAAATCAGCCACAAGTTTTCTGAACTCGTTTGTGGCAGCTATACAGGGTGACTTAGTTTTTGTGAAGTTCTGCATGTAGCACTTTCAAAATCTAGGATATAAAAGCCCAATTCATAAGCTTTCTTTTAGTACAAGATTCATTCGCATCACTTATGTACTTTTCAAGTTACCGAATTTGAAACACAACCAAGGTCTTTTTAAGGTTCTGTCCACGGATCACAAAAAAGTTCAGTGTTCTTTCAGTTAAACCAAAACAAATCACATAGAGATGTGTGTGAATTGTTTTCCTTTTGATGAAAGAACACATGCCTTTTTTGTGATCCGTGGACATAACTTTAAAACGGTGGTTGTGTTCAAAACTCCATAACTTGAAAAGCACATGCATGATTTGAATGATTCTTGAACTAAAAGAAAGCTTATGAATTGGGCTTTTGTATCCTAGATTTTGAAAGTGCTACATGCAGAACTTCACTAAAACAATGGTCCCGACATCTGGGTCTGTCTTTTTGGACTCACCCTGTAGTTCAAATTAACTGCCATATTCGTCCAATAAAACTTGTCATGTCCCACATGTACAAGCATACATATACATGTACATGTGCACAGATTTATGCGTGGTGGAGGGTGTTTGTTATGGAACTACAATGCTATGTGGGTTAATCTTTATTGAGTACGTTGTTACATAAATTTACGATTAAAAAAAAGTGTGTACCTTTTTGACTAACATCAACTCTGTGTTCTACAACTGTAAATAACTTGCTACATCAAGGTAATATACAAATATTTTAATTTGTAAACTGTTACAAGAATGTAATTGATACTTAGATGAAGCAGCATAGAGAATAAACTAACACATTTTGGAATTACACAAAAATTAAGCAAATCGACTGATCTGTAAATACGTGCATTGTAACGAGGGTACATAACACTATTCTTAGTCTTTTCTGTAAGCCTCTAATAATTAAATCGAAGTTTCAAATTGGACTGAAGTTGGGATGCCAGTGAAGACAAGCATATCAAAGCAGAGAAAATCGCTAAGAAAGGAATAAACTTAAGTTTTTAAATACAAATGAACGAGCACACTTCAAATATTGAATATGTACATTTGTATACCCTGTATGTGTATGTACAATGAACATGCAGGAATATATTTTGCACAAAAACAAAAAAATAACAAAAAAGAAATATTGACAAATCCAGTGACTGATTTCCAAAATTCACCTTCCACAAAGTAAGCATACCTGATAAGGACAAAAAATAAAAAATACATGTAAAAGTAAATAAATCCCCCCCCCCCAAAAAAAATCCATTGGAAATCTTGAACTTGACCAATACCACGGACTTTGTATATTTTTAGTTTTAAAGACAACATATAAATTAGTTAAAAAAATAACAAACGTATCTGTAGTTCCAATAAACTGGAGATGTGTTTGATTATAAACATAATTAGTTTTCTACGTGGCCTGAAGTCCTCATCAGCCTATTCATGGACCCTGTTGTTACATACTTACATGTAAGGTATTGCTGGTTGAGTACAACAGAACTAGATCCATCAGAAACCATGTTGGCCATCATGTTGAAAAATTATGTTCTTCAACAGACCTTTGCTCAAAAATACCCTTTGCCTTTAATATGGGTCGTACTAATAAGCGTCAACACAGCGTCAACACAGCGTCAACACATTCTAGAAGCGTCAACACACCGTCAACGCTTCCAAAACGCATTCTAAATTGACAAAAAAAGCATAGAACTGTAAAGTTTAGACTTAAAGAGATTGAAGGTGGGACAGAGGTTACATTTCGTTTACGGAAATGGAGATTTTGCTCGTGAAAAAATATCTCTAAGCAGCACGGCCGTTGTCCGCCATCTTGCTTTCGCACGGAGCATGGACTACACCATTTCAGATATGGGTGTGTAGGTAATGAAATTATCATGTCGTACTGGTATGTGGATTCACACGTAACGAACGCCCTCTGTTGATTTATTGTATAATGCCATCACCACTGTTAATGGTATGGTCCGTGCTGCCCTTGAGCCAACATGGCCGCCGATTTTGGAGCTGTTCGGAGAGCCAATTTTCTTGAACTGAAAATACAGTTTGAACACTGGTTTTGTCAATTTGAATGCGTTTTGGAGGTGTTGACGCTGTGTTGACGCTGTGTTGACGCTTCTGTGTGTGTTGACGCTTATTAGTGTGACCGTTTAAAACTGGTGAAACAAAACATTGAAAAAGTTTCAAAATTTAGAAGTTGCCCAACTCCTGCTCCCCACAAATATGCATGCATTCCACTGATAACTAAAGCCCTCCGCCAGGAAAATATGATAAATATGGCATTTCCCCCGCCTATCTAAGCAAACAATAAACATTTACTTCAAACTGTAATTCTTGAACTGATAGCGTGAACAGAGACATGGATATTCCATACAAAATGTTTTCATTTAAAAGAAAGGAAATAGGTATGTATGAGGCAAATAAAAAAAAATAAAAAAATTCCCCTATTGCACCCTCTAGAATAACTTAGCTTTTAACTTCATTTTTGGTTATTTCTGGCTCAGTTGGAAGCAACTTACATGTAGATACATCGCTCATGTATAAAGCCCTCAGTTGCAACCAGAAGGAATTAAACAAAAAAACCCAGAGAGTTACTCCATTTAACTATTTAGGTTAAACATTCTCACAGAAAAATTAGAGTGCTTTGTGCATAATTGAGTGCATTTGACACTCATTTTCTGAATTGTTTTGCTGGTGTAGCCCGAAATCTTCACTCCATAAAAAAAACCCAACTCCACTTGACCAATCTGAGCGAGTCTAAGTGTCAGAATGACGGTTCATTCGAGGTAAAAAAGGGACAAATTTGATGGCAGTCAATATTTGTGCTGGCAGTCAATCTTTCACATGACACCAGCATTCTGGGTTGTGGTGGAGTCCATCACATTCACAAGTCCATCAAAAGTCCTTCAATCTCCAGTCAAGATCACTAGCTATTCAAATGAGCTGTTACAAAAACATCCCTTTGTCATCAGAGTGACCGTTTTAGCCGATTTTCGGCTAACTTTGACAGATTTTTGGTTAAAAACCGAGTTTGACAGAAAATTTGACAGAATGGATTTTTTTTGGCAGACTTCTGGCAGAATTATGCAAAATTGGTTGTTAGACAGAAAAACATAGCAAATTTGAAATTTTTTTTTACACTTTTTTGAAGAAGCTTTCATCTTTTCAAACAAACACTTGCATAATAGAGCAGGTTGGATAGTCTAGGTGCTGAGGTTCACTGGGAACCGGACTTCGTCGTGACGCAACCGCGTTTTGCCTGAAATTTACGCAATTTCATAACATTTTTATGTGACTATAGATTGTTTATAATATAATTTGAACCTTAATTAAGGCAAAACTGCAACATGTGCATGTGATTTTAAGTGGTTATAGTGTATTTCGAGTAATTGCGGGGGATTTGGCAGATTTTTGATGAATCTGACAGATTTTTGAAATGCATGTAGCAGAATTTGGCCATGACCTTACGGTCACCCTGTTTGTCATTGTTCATCCAGTTACTTGACTGAACGTATGAAAGGACTTGTGGAAGGCCTTGTGATGGACTCGACTTCAATGCTGCCGGCACCTCGCCGCAAATCAACCCTGCAAAATGGTCAAAAACTGGCACCTTTTTGCAAATTTTCATCCTTTTTTTTTTTAACGATGTAATATTTCATTAACAGACAAATACAGTTCAATAAACATAACACACTTCCTAACCCCAGGAGTCCAGGCAAGTTAGTTGGGCAGAAGAATGTATTGTACATGTATAAATAGTGTGAAAATAAAAATAAATGCAGAAAAAATAGAACTTTTAGATCTAGCTAGTTTGATCAAATATTACTTGTTGATGCCTAAAATGTGAATTCTTAGCTATCAGTGTGAAATTTTTGCCATTCATTATACCAAGGTAAAAATAAGAACATGAAAAATATGAGTGATTGTCATGACTAATTCATCAGATTCGCTGCGTCTCCCTCCTGAATCCCTGACCTGACCTGACCTCCAATGACCTTATCGTGACCTCCGACCTCATTGTTCGTCAGACCGACCTCCCCTGCAACCTCCCCTGCTTTGCCGAGTCGATCCTGTTGACTGTTTGCGGGCAGCACCTTGGAGATGATGGCGTCCATGTTGGCCGGGCAGGTGTAGTGGCCCACACCGAACGGCCGCATGTGGTAGATCATGTACTCTAAGAGGTACATGTTGTTGGGGCTGATGTAGTGGAAAGATATGGAGTAATCCGAGCAGCATTCTGGACCCTGCAAATGGGTGAAAAAAATTGGGCACAAGAATTAGGTTAAATCAACGAAAACAGGGTTGGGGGGAGGGTGAAGTTAAATCTTTTAGGCAACTTGTACCTCCAAACTTGACATCAATGTTGACTTCATTACAGTGGTGCATCAAAGGGGTGGGGCCCTCGGGGGGCTTACATGTATAATAGGGGTCTAAGTGGTGCCATCAACTTCAAAATAGTCCTCCCCCCCCAAAAAAAAACACCAAAACCCCCCCCCCCCCAAAAAAAAAAATAAAATAAAAAAAAAACCCCAAAGTTTTGTTCTGCGGCCACACATTTTTTGAATTTTTTTTAACTTTTAAAAAATTTGGAAAATTTTACCAGTTCCGCAAGTAAAATCACAACTCCTGTCACAAGTTAAGAACAAGTCAGGGCTTTATTATGGGTTTGGGGATTGGAATCGCCTGCCTGGCTATCAGTCATCATAGCAAGACCTCAGTTTAATGCTCAAGGGCAAATGATTCCAATCCCCAACCACATCAGCCCTTTTTTTTTTACAACATGAAGGAGATTTAGTTACACAGCTTACATAAAGCACTGAAATTAATTCAGGCAAGGAACAGAGAGTCCAAAAATTGACCATTGTGCAGTGAGGCGTGGGGGAATTTAATAACACCCTTAGGGATTTCGGCCATGGATTTTGAGTATCTGCGCAATTAAAATTGTTCAAACTTTACTTCATGGATTGGTTGTTATTTCAAAAATATTTAGACAGACACAATTTTGGGACATATTGTAGTAATTTTCCAAAGCTGAGGTCACTATAACGGCCAACAACACACTGTTCAGTTTAACTTCAGTCAATTTATAAAAATTAGTAGAGTTTGGAACGCGAGTGACCAAACACAATGCTCCAAAAAATACAGAGACTAAGGTAAAACAAATGGTGAAAAAATTAGAAGTGATGTGAAATTCTGGAACTCTTGTCGTTTGTTGTTGATTTGTTTAAAGACATGTTTTGTCCTTCACTCAGTACAGTCTGAGAACATGTGAGCAAAAATGTAACTTGCTTGCTCAAGCGGGACTCGAACCCATAACCTTCCATCAACCTGCACAGATGTTCTACAAGTAACTATTTTACCGTCTGTGCTGGGTAGTATGCGTATTTCCAAAACCAAAACGACTTTTTCATTTGATTCGGTAAGATGTGAGTTATAAACTGGAACGGGTGGAACGTCTCCTTTCCGACACTATCTCTGGAGTCCCCGGCAACCACGCCGACCGTTTCCAGGCATCTGCCTATTTCCAGATCCTCTTGGGCATCATAACCCCTTCCGTTTCCGGCCCCTTTACAGAATTTTAAGTTTGGGAAGCCTTGCTCCACAACTAGTATGAGAGCGAGTTTACTGAGGACGTAACCAGCTCCGCCACTCATGTAGCCTTGGGAGACGTAGGCTTTAAATCTCCGGCCGAAGTAGACGGGTTCCTCAGAACTTTTGTCGGCGAGAATGTAGCGAAGATTTTCTAGAACGACGTACGTGTCGTCATCGGCTTTCAAGAACCAGTCGGCATCGTTCAAGTGGTGGTCGTAGATGTACTGGAAGGCACCGCGCGTCTTCTGCCAGAGGAACGCGCGGCCCTCGGGGGCCTTGACGTTGACGGTGGGGAAGGAGGGGTCGTCTTGAGAACTGATGAAGATGACTTTGTTGCATCGGCGGGACCAGGTGGCCTGGACGTGAATGGCCTTCTTTTGGAGGTTCTGGGGGGACGTTAGAATCCAGCACAAGATGCGAACTCGATCGTAGAGTGCATCTGCCAACAAATCCTGGCCTGTGGGAAGCAAAGAACAGAATACATGCATGACAGTCTTGAGTTACTTCAACTTGTGCAACAATGTACATGCACTCGAACTTGCAAAGCTTTGATAGATATTTGATGTATGTGTGCCACAGGGCACGGAGAGGATAGGTAAGGTAAGGTACATAAGAAACAAGTACATGTACATGTACATGTTTAACAGTTCCAAGTGATTTCTGCATGGCTTATTCAGTTAAGGCCTGTGACACAAAATTAGCTTGAGTGATTTAATTCAGTTTGTTGGAATGGGTCACACACAGATAAAAATGTTGCTAAATCAAATGCATTTACAGTCGACACCCACTCATATGAGCCCTGCTGTAACAGACTTCTGGTGAAGAAAGCGCCTAATTCCTGACCGTACATTTATGTGCTTAATGAATGGGACCATAATTTCAGATTAACAAAAATGTTGGCTAGGTCTGGAAGATTTTGTATTAACAAGAGTCAACTGTACTTTGTAAGTTGCCTCGACTATCAACTCACCATGTTCCCTTGCATGAGTGTGTGACTTGAACGAGAGCAATTCTTCTTTCGCTACCTCATTGGCTCTGTTGACTTGAGCATGACCTTCGTGATTATCCGACTCCACAACTACTTCTGTACTACTGACGACCTGCCTCACAACTTCAGCAAGATCTGAATCCCGGTTGATTAAGACATGTGTGGCGCAGATTCCCACGACAAATGCGGCACAAAATTGAATGATGACTTTCCGAATGGGTCCCCCACGGGGGGCGTGTCTTCGTGAACACCTCCCCCACATGTTGCTACATTTGGCGTACTCTGTGTTGCGTCAGCACGGTATCCGGTAACTCGACAAAGAGGTGCAACACTGCCTTGCAAACTCCGTTGAGTATCTGTTATGGCACTCATGTACTTGGCTTAGAAGTTAATTCCTGTGTCTAGCTGACACACATTCCAAACAGACCAAATTATGAGCTCGCTAGATACCATTCAACAGAAGATCCTCGTGCTGAACGTTCTGCATTAAGGCAAGTAAATACGGAATGCATCCATTTGCACACCATAATATGAACCATCCGTTTAAGATGAACAGATTTTGTAATCAAAACTTCCTGGCGAGATGGATGGAGTCCTCATCCCCGAGCCTCAGCATTTCAACCATCTGTATTCGACTGAAACACCTGCTGGTATTTAATGGAGCGTGACACCGATTACAGTGAAAAGCGCCGGGCAAATACTACGACAAATTGCAAATTTGAAAAGACACTCCATGCCTGAAGCTCGATATGCACAAAGGTACCGAATTGATTTCACCTAGAAAAATTGACTGGTCTGACATCACTGCCATTTCAAGTGCATATTCACGTTGAAAGTCACAGCTAATACAAAAACAAGTAGTCCATTGCTGTGCAAATATTCGATCTCTTTGTTCCCACCTCAAGTGTGTGCAAACAAAGGCCAAGTGAATCCAGATGGATTTTTCAAGATAAAAACAAACGAAAATCAAGTGATTCGGTAAACAACCACTTGTTGGCTGAGCTCAGGATCTGCAACTTACAACAGGTGTTACACACGTTTGTGCTTACAATTTTGAAAATAGTACAAGTGAGCAGGGAGTGAAATTTGACGCCAAATCAGCTGGACACGGGACACTGTCAAGTTGTGGAATCTGTTTGGGGCTGGCACATGCAAAGTGTCAAACTGTTTCAAAAAACTTAAAATAAATTTGGCTTTCAAAATCTGACAGAGCATCAAATGTTGTTGGTGGACAAGCAGTCGTATCCCCCTGTCACCCTATGTACATGTACATTAAACACAAACATGTATTAGTTGTGGGATTTTAATAATCCAGATTTTGTAACATTCGGTTTCAATTGAACTGTATTTCGAAACCAGATATTTAAAACTGACCTTGAAAAAGATTAAGCCTACCTTTTCTTGTGACACGCTACAGAAAACAAAAGTCCCCAATTTGCCTCATGGTATCTGATTGTAACTGCATTCACTTGCTAGTGGTCTTCTTGGTATATGAATAGCCTGCCCATTCGACTCATCAGAGAGTTCCCACTACTATTTTCAACATTACAGCTCTGGAGTGTTTTTGTCAAGGCCCAGTGGCCATTGAATCCTGCAAACTATACCCAGTCATTGGGAGGGCATTGCAGGCGACACCTCACTTGCCACTTTTTGTTGTGCATGACTGTGAGCTGGACGGGAACTTCCGGTGAAACCAGACAATTCGTCGATCGTACCACGATCTGACCTATCTCAGTTTTTGCCATTTCAAGAAAAACGTGTTTGAAGTTGGGTCTATTTTGCATCCACCCTTTCACCCAGAACACTAATTTTTATTGACTCGGTTTGTTTATATAATAAAGTTGGATAGTTGAATTATGATTTTAAATTGTTTCTAAGGCAAAAACTCATCATTACCAGGTGAAAAATAGGCGCCAAATCAAAAGTCACTTCGTGAAAATTTCATTTTCATATTTCATGCGCCCGAACGGCGACCTATCCAGATAGGTCACTTCGTGAAACGAACAATTTCGATTTCTCTGTGGTTGATAGTGACTTAGGTCATATGCGCATGCGCGCGCGGACCTCTTCACATTAAGTCATATGGAGGCTCGTTGCAATCTGTTATTTTCATATTAATATTATTGAAATTAAAAAAAAAAAAAAAAATGGATCTACACATTTGGGGGTAATTTTAGAGTTGTAAGCATTATCAAACTTCAAATTTACAAAACCCAACTGCATGTATTTGGAAAGTAATGTGATGAATTCTCAAAATCCCAGCATACTAGCATGAAGCCTGCACATAGTACTTACGCATTCTGTAATATTTTAAGATTCAGTATGGAAATAATAACACATTTTGTACTTCCGGTATGCGACCTTTTCTACATCAAATCGCAAACTTAGAAAGAAAAATCTTTGAGGTTTACCGCTTGAGCAGGGTAGTAACAATAATCCCAGTACCAGAACTTGGTGGGCACAATTCCTTTGATCAAATGATGCTCGGGGATAAAGGGATGGAATCGTTCCCGCCCCAGACTGTCCCTCGAATCACCGGCCGTTACGCCGACTCGGGAGAGGCACTTGCCGATTTCAACATCTTCTGCAGCTCCGGCTGCTTTTGCGTCGCTGCGACAAAGAGCAGCGTTCGGGAAGGCTTTCTCAACAGCCAGTACCAACGCAGCTTTACTGAGTACGTATCCAGCACCACCGCTCATGTATCCCTGTTTGACGTAGGGCTTGAATTTGCGGCCGTAATATACGGGATCGTTTGGGTCCTTGTCTGCAAGTAAATAACGTAAATTTTCTAGCACAACGTATGTATCGTCGTCTGCTTTGAGGAACCAGTCGGCCTCGTCCAAGTGATGGTCGTAAACGTACTTGAAGGCACCCCGGGTTTTTCGCCAGAGGTATTCTCGACCCTCCGGGGCCTCGACTTTGACAGTGGGGAAGGAGGGATCGTCTCGGGAGCTGATGAAGATGACTTTGTTGCAGCGGCGGGACCAGGTGGCCTGGACGTGGATCGTCTTTTTCTGGAGGTTTTGGGGCGAGGTGAGGACCCAGCACAAGATTCGGACTTGTTTGTAAAGAATATCAGCCAAGACATCTTGACCTGTGAATATAAAAGATAAACAAAAGAAATACGTATCAAGTGCTTTTGAACAACAAAATTGTGAAGTGTTTCTGTAACTTGTTCACGGAATACCGGAAAATAAATATTGTGGTGAAAAATGACAACCTCAATTGTGAAACTAAACAAAGAGAGAGACAAAGAAAATCAAAATAAATTAAAAATTTGCATTTTTTTGTTCACTATGTTATTCAGTCATTTGAAATTTTGATATACATGTATGTAGATCTGCTATGGAATACTACATGTATAAAACTTAAAGATGAATTTTCATCCAAAATTCACTGTATGAGCCTTGCAAGACAAGTTCCTGTGCATTTTACAAATACTGTTGTGTCACTGGAAAGGTCAATTCCATGTTTACAAAAATTGATTCAATATTTGATTAAACGTTGTGGGTTTCGTTATGGCAGCCGTAATGAGATTTGTATCTGCTATTGTTACGGCATTGCAGAAACACTATCACAAATAGATTCATACATTTTGTAACCATGATAACTGCCTTGCAACCACAGTGATTTGGTAGCTCGGTTGGTTAAATGTTTGACTACCGGAATTCCCGGAATCAAATCTGTGCTACAAATGTATGTCAAACTTTTTTTTTTATTATATAAATAGTTTCACTTACTTTTATGTTTTTAATCAAATCCTACTGTTTTTAAATGGAAATAGGCCATAGATTTCATTTTCGTCTTCGTTTTTCATGGCTTTGGAAAAAAATTTAAAGGGAAAGTTTATAGGCCTAGTCTGGTTCCAAGATCCTGATGCTGAAAACTAGGTCAGGCAATCAGATGACTGAACGTAACAATCATGACAATAGTCACTGCATTGATTAAAAAGAAATCTCAGAATCTCAGAAAGTTGACTGGATATCTCAGCTAGGCATCATCCAGTTTGACTTCACGCCGCGCTGGTGCTGTGCAAGCGTGAAAAAATCAATGGACAATGCATTTGAATATCATTCATTTACTATTTACTAGTATTTAGTATTCATTCATCATGTTCATGTGAACATTTCATTGATTGATGGTTGCAAAGGACTCAAAATAAGTCAAATCAATATTAATGATCATTAGCTTGAGTAACTCCAGCTGACATGCTCCATATTTATTCACATGTAACGCTGGAGGCATAACCTGTTCGTTAGAATGTGGTAGCAAGAGACCCTAAAAAAATTGGCCTCTCAAAAATTGTTCATTTTCACCTCTAATATCCCACCCCAGAGTTCATTTACAAAAAATGTACATACCTCATACATTCAGCAGTCATTTATGAAGCCTAATGATCGACTTGAAACAGACCACACAAAAAAATGTGAAAAATCTTGACGATTTCGGTGGCTTGTCCGTAAAAAAATGCCAGTTCCAACGGCTGTCGTCCATTTTGTTTTGCTAATTATGTAAATGTATGCATACGTGATGACATCAAAAAATCTGCGCGCGCGATGTATGTGGGTACCACACCGCACCACACCCACATATATCGCGCGCGCAGATTTTTTTCGATGTCATCATGTAATGCATACATTTACATAATTAGCAATTTTAACAAAATGGACGACAGCCGTTGGAACTGGAGTTTTTTTTACGGACAAGCCACCGAAATCGTCAAGATTTTTCACATTTTTTGTGTGTGGTATGTTTCAAGTCGATCATTAGGCTTCGTAAATGACTGCTGAATGTATGAGGTATGTAAATGAACTCTGGGTTGGGATATTAGAGGTGAAAATGAACAATTTTTGAGAGGCCATTTTTTTAGGGTCTCTTGCTACCACATTCTAACGAACAGGTTATTCCTCCAGCGCTACATGTGAATAAATATGGAGCATGTCAGCTGGAGTTACTCAAGCTACATGTGAACAATGATAGTTGAAAAGGACTCAAGTCAAATCAATATTAATGTCTAATGATTAAAATAAATATTGGGAAAGCCATTATCCCCGTTCGACGATGTACAGACTGCTATCATTTTCACAGCTGCATTATCGAAGTATTATAATTACCCAGTATTGTACATGCAACGATCTCTTGTAAACCTACCGAACTGCCTAGCGTGCGTGTGGCCTTTGAACGTCAGCAACTCGTTCCGTGACACACGGTTGCTGTCGTCGACAACTTCGACGTGTCCGTGCGGATCGCTAAGCTCCAATATCCGCCTTCCCAGGCTGTCCAACTCCACGAAATTCTGCCCAGAGTCGAAACGACGGACGACGATATACGTCAGACACCCACCGAAGAAAAAAGCCGCGCAAAATGAGAGCAGAACCGACCGAGTTGGACCGAAAACTCCACCGTGGTTTCCAGCCGAACTGGCGGCCATCTTGGAATCTTGGGTGAATGAGGCGTTTGTTTGTTTACCGATCCGAAGATTCCCTACTCCACGTTGGAACTTTAAAGGTGACACGTGTGTATTTTAATTAAGCCGACATGTATTACATTGTATTACGTAATATCCGTTCCGCAAATTGCAAGTAACATCTAATAACTGGCTACCTGTCTCTAATTGTTTCGAAATTATGCCACTGCACTTCACTCATCATATTCAACCCTTGGATTTTTTTAATTAAAAAAAAGTGGTTTATTGAATATTATATCTTTAATCATGCGAAAAAAATATGTACATGTAGATCCTTTCCCTTCCTTCTAAAAATTATTTCCAAAGACACACTATCTCCAAACCACTTTTCTTTTTTTTTTTACAAATTTGCTGAAAAGGACAAATATAATTCCCAGAAATTGCTGTTTACAACATAAGGAAAAGTGCCATACTTTAGGATAAAATAGGCCTTAGTCAGAATAATGTAAAAAAGTGTGAAATAATGCAAAAATAAACAGTATGACACTTGTAAACATACAACATGTATACATGTAGATTATTAAAATAAGCTATGAATTTTTCAGTAGAAGGCTTTTTCATGCAAATTTCATACAATTATAAATATGCAACATTTTTCGTTACGCACCAACTGTTTTGTGATGCATGACTGAAGATGACACACATACATGTATCATTACATGGCACAGACAAAAACATCTGTTGCTAAAATAAAATTCAAGACGTTTGAGTAAAACTCAAGTTTATTGTTTAGGCCTAAAAGAGAGCTTTTAAAACACACAAAACAAGGAGAAACTTAGAGATTGATACCTGTGTTCTTCAAATAACACATTTTGAATTTGTATGTTTTGTTTAAATTAAAAAAAAGAAACCCTTACTTTCCCCGAGTTTTTGGCATACATTATGCAATCATCGGAAAAAGGGCATTTATTTTGCGCATTAATTAGCCGGCCCTGTGAGAGCCGAATTACTGTCCAGCACCTAATAATACAACTTTTGTGAAGAAATAATTCGATAACTAAACGTCGGTGGATTTTTTCATTCGATGTCTCATTCAAAAGTGAATAACTTTGATATTGCTTGGAAACAGCAATTCAAAACATTACAATATTTATTTTTTAGGTGAAACTCAAATATAACACGAGGAACTCACCTCTAACTTGGCTGAGTAAGAGGTGCTTTTTTTCTCTCTCTTGTTTCCCCCTCAAGATGGTGGATTTTTCAAGATCGCGGATAGATTCTTAATTTTCTCGACTATTTTGCCGATACAAAATTGTGTCCGAAAAAGCCACAAAAACCCTTTCTACATAGCTACAATTTTGTTGGAAACAAATAAAAAGACAACATATTGACAATATGTGTCCAAGTATCGTGCAAACGTATGCATACAAAATGTTTTAAAAAGGAGGCAGCCGGTTAAACAGGAAGTTGGGGGGGGGGCGGGGAAATAAAAACTGGTTGATTGTTTTTTTTACTTAGCCTAATATAAAATCATGTGTCAAAATCACCAATGCATTTGCCACAGGTGTGTAAGGTATGGGCACCTGTTTATCATGTGTTATGCCGAGTGCGTATGTAAATTAAGAACAGCTGTTTTCATTGTTCAGTGCAGGTATTGCAATGTGTAACCCTGAAATTTCTGGTACACAGTGCATACAGTGCAAGCATCCAATGTTTATCTTTCCTCTTTATTTATAATAAGACTGCTGTTGCAGCTGTTATGTGTAGTAAAATCAATAGACAACTCAAGAGGCTGAGAAAATTTGCAAACCACTCCAATAATATTAACCAATTCAGCAACATTTATTCACAAAGCAGAGTTTACAAAGTAAGATTTCAAACAGTTTATACTACTGATAATTGATTAAAAGGAAAATAGTGCAATGATATTAAAATTCTTGGTTCAATGATTTAGAAAATCATCCCCGAAAAAAAAACCTTTGTGAAACTTTAACTGGCATATCAATCTGTGGAAACCGATAAATCAGCCGATTTGAAGAGAAATATCGTGCTAAACATTGCCTTTCATTTCCAAAAATCTGAAATCCATATTAAGTGCCACATACGGACGTGTGACCCTTATTCGGTGAACGCAGATGAGAATTTCTGAAAATTGTGGTAGTCGTGAGGTGGAAATTGAAGGTGAAATACAGAAATGGAAGACCAAGATGTCTCTTAAGGTTTTCAAACTGTGTGACACAACATATGACCAGCAGCTGGATTCGAACCCCTGACCCTCTGATCATGAGTCACAAACCCTAAGCACTAGGCCGCACTCCCCCACTTTAAAAGCATTACCTACCTCTTTATCTGGGTGGCGGATGTATTGCCAGTACCACGCTGTGTAGCCCTTCGTGTTCAACGGCAACTTGTGATCAGGCACTATCATTCGGAACCTCTGCACACCTTCCGAGTCTACCCCTTGGTGTCCTGAGACTGCTCCTGAGGCCTTAAGACACTCCCCCAACTCCAGGTCATCTGACACGCCCCCAAAAGAGGGCTTGTAGTCCTGCAGCGTGGGGCCGATCAGTGCCAGGGCTTGCTTGCTCAAGGCAAAAACGGCCCCGCCGGAATTTGGTCCTGTAAACATGTGAGCGATATAGTTTGGAATGTTGGCTTTGTGCATGAATAATAGGTACCGCAGGTTTTCGGGAACGAGGATCGAATCGTGGCTTGCCTTAACAAACCAATCGTATTCGCTGTCGACAAGGTTGTCGTAAAGGTACTGAAGCCCAAGTTTGGATCTCTGCCAGATCTGGGATTTCCCCTCCGGCAGTTTGATATCAATCGTCCCGATATCTGGGTTGTTTTCGTTGCTCAAGAAGAGCACCTTATTGCAGTGTTTCGTCCACGTGGCTTTGGCGGCTTTGCCGTAGTTGCCGATCTGGCCCCGCTGGAGTATCACAAAGCACAGAATCTTAACCTTGTCGTGCAGAAATGTACTGTTTAGCCTGGGGTCAAAAAGTCCCAATTTGGAGTCCCTGTTCACTGCTTCCTCCAGCGACTTGGCCGGAGTTTTCCCTTGGGAGACTTCGCGTGTTTCATGAGGGAACGTGAAGTAGATGCACTGTGATCCAGTGGTGGTGGGCAATGCATGGATTTTTGCAGCAACCAATGCCTGGGTGCTGCTGGGCTTGTGTCCGCCAATGGCTTGGTACTTGCTGAAGACGATGGCCGACAATATCCCAGCTGTCAGGCCAAGGACGGTAGCAATGACACCGGTGAGATTCATTGTCTACTGTTGATCGATGACAACCTTCATGAGATTCAGAATGGAAAACAACCATTAGAGGTGATTTATGTGCATGTGGAAAACAAAATGTTCTTGTTTTCTACACCATTCGGGGTGAGTTCCTTTGAGGGTCTTCATGGTGTTCTCCCCTGTAAAGTGGGAGGGGTGGGGTTGGGGAAAGGGGGTGGGATTAATTAAGACTTTAATACAAAGTCAAAGTCAAGAATTCTCAGAAAATTCATTAGTTTTATACTTGTTCAGTTAAGTTGTGCTTTAACTTAAATAAATTAGAATAATTTTAATTTTATGAAAAAAAGAGAAAATGTTGGGGATCCCAATGCACATGAATGCAAGTGAGGCTTCGAGGCTACATTGTAAACTCAGTGTAGTCACACATTCCACTTCATCATTCACACCCATGTTATTGCCCCTCCCCCCCCTGGCATTCTATCTGTCATTGCCAAGTCTGCTTTCCCCCATTAACAGATTAAACATTTTAAACATGTTAAAGGGAAATTACAACATTTGTAAACATCAAAAAATAAAACTACCAAATCGTTTTGAAATACCTTGCTGGACTGTTAGTGAATGACAGTGTAAAGCATCCTGTAAACTCATGGCACCTGGTATACTGTCATTTTCAAGAAAAGTGGTATTTTTGTATCAATTTCCAACGCTGATCGGCCGATCAGCGTTGGAAACAACTGGCTTTTCTTTCAAATACTGGCCCCAATTGACCATCGCACTTGTTTGCAATCGATTACAAACCTATGAACGGGTACGAGCCAGCTAGACTGGTTCCCTGACCTTACAATTCCCCCAATGTATGTAAACTGCTCTGTTTCTTCTTATATGGAGTCAGGGAACCAGACTACAGGAAAATGATCGTTTTCTTGGTTTTTATAGCATTTTCGAACCCAAAACCTCAAAAAAGTCAGTGTAACTATATTTGCTATATATTTCTAACCCCCCAATTCCATCCATTTCTGAAAATTACAGCAAAAGCAAATGATGTATATTCCCTTTAAATGGCCATTCACTTCCATGACTTCCCGAGATTAAAGTAACATTTTAACTTATTTTTTAGATTAGGTAGATAACTTAAGCGAAACATATTTCTCACCTGAAAGCCTCAGCTAATTGAACGCATCCAATCTCTTTCTTTTCCAAAAAGTCCAGTCATAAACTTCATTGTAAAGGATGAAAAATTAAATGCAAAAACGGAGCGACTGATCGTCAACACTGTGGTTGAGCTGTGCCGATCGCGAGAGCGAGCGAGCGAGGGTCCTACTAAAGCGCGTCAACAAGCGTCAACAAGCGTCAACAAGCGTCAACAAGTTTTAGTAATCGTTAAGTGCGCGTCAACAAATTTTGTATAGGCCTTTGAACAATAAAAACAGCTTTATATGGTAGAAAAAGCGATAATGAACATCTTCTGCATATCAATTAAAGTTAAAATTATTTTAAAACTTGGTTTTTTGAGCGCGAAATGTACGACGAATTTGTCGATAAAAGTAGGCCGCCATCTTGTTTGGACGGCGCTGTAGACTTCGCGCATGCGTAGTATGGCTCTTTACACTTCACGCATGCGTAGTACGGCTAGCTACACATAAACAAGATGGCGGCCAACTTTTATCGACAAATTCGTCGTACATTTCGCGTTCAAAAAACCAAGTTTTAAAATAATTTTAACTTTAATTGATATGCAGAAGATATTCATTATCGCTTTTTCTACCATATAAAGCTGTTTTTATTGTTCAAAAACCTATACAAAATTTGTTGACGCGCACTTAACGATTACTAAAACTTGTTGACGCTTGTTGACGCTTGTTGACGCTTGTTGACGCGCTTTAGTAGGACCGGCGAGCGAAGGTTTAGCTGAGTAGCGCCCTCAAGAGTTAAAATTCATCCAGTCAACATTTCAGCGGGGAAGCGTCTCGTTTCCAAGGAATTAGGAAGGACATGAAGATATCTGCATTTTTGGTAGGAATAAATATTGATTTTAGAGTCTTAAGCTTTAATATTTTGCGATCAGTTTTTTTCTGGTAATCATTTTCACGAACTGCAGCTCCAATACTCATAGGGAATTCGACATTTCAGGCTGGATTTCAATTTACTGGGCCTACTACTGCAATTTGTTTCCAGTTCCTGAAAATTATTGACACTCACACTTGACAGAAAAAAACTGATCGTGTTTTTATGGAGTTTCTCAGCTCAAGCTATCTTGATCTTCTTACACTCAAGTTACAGCCAAACCTCTCCCAACTGCATCCGTACTACAGAGCTTGCGATAGTATACTGTGCGGCCAGATGCAGTCGGGTTCAGCCAAACCTTGTTAAGTTGTAATTGTTAGGCCTAATAATAATAATAAATGTATTACTAAAAGAATGTCCAAATTCTGGTTCACACAGGTTCTTCTGAGTCTTTTTGTTCAAAAAATCTAACATGAAGAAGTCGACCAATAAGTCCAAGTCGCCAACTGCCGCAACTAAACCAAAAACAGCACCCAAGGACCAGTTGGCTGCTAAGACGACAGCCAATCGGCCCAAGTCCAAACCAAGAGCGCCCTCTGGAGATGGAAGTAGGAAAGGTGAAGCAGCAGGTCCGTCCGTCGACGCAGAAGAGGTGCTTCAGTCGTTGGAGGAGAAGTATCAGATGCAGTGCGAGGAAGCCGAGATGCCTGTGGGTGAGGAAGGGGCGGGGATAAGGATTGATCTGTGGGGGGAACATCTCTTGTGGAGAATACAAGCCGATACGTTGCCACCACAAAGCTACAAGTCAACTTACACTACAAGTCGGGTCACAAGTAACGAGGGATAAACAGCACAGTAATTCAGTTCAATAGCTGGTTAAAATACTTGACTTATGAGTGGATGACTTGTAATTGACAATCGATGACCTTTGAATTTTGATGACTTGGTTCTCACGTCAGATTTTAACCTATCATATTGTTTCATATTTCAGTCGCATCGAAGCCAGTGAGGATCAACCTCAGCTTGATAGCAAGACGAAATCTTCCCCCTGACATTGCCAGTGGATCTCATGAAAAACTGTGAGTATTTCTACAACCCAATTTCTTGTTATATATTTTGAATTAATTAGAGTTAATTTTTTTTATTGGCTGCATTGTTCGAAGGAGGTGGCACAAGCTGTATTATCATAATTTATTAGGAGGTGGGGGGGGGGGGGGCGGAGGGGGGATGGTACAAAGCATCCTAAATTGAGCCTTTCAAGTGCAGCTCAACCTGTGTGTAATTTTTCTTGGATATTTGGGAAATTTTTGTGGGGGCACACCTCAAATGTTTGAGGGATTTCCCCCACTAGCCCCCTCCTCCATGCCACCGTGATAACACAATTGAGCTTGGCATTTTAACAAAATGTATTGTACATGTACTGTCGATGTGCACAGAATTCAAGCTATTAGTAAGCTGACCCACCTACGCTTGGACCGGGAGAATATCGGAGAGATTGACGACCTGGAGATGATGGGGCCTGTCACCAACCTCTACCTGCAGCAGGTAGGAACAAGATGAGCTGGACGAATTCCTCTCAAAGTTGAATCCAAATTGGATTGAAAATACCTTGAAGACTATTTTGCAGTTGGATCTTGTAGTCGGATCCTTGAAGAGAAGTATTATTATTTTGGAGTGGCATACGTCCAAGTCTGTCACAAGTCCTCCAGTCCCAAGTCAACTCACAAGCTATTTAAGTGATCTCTGCCAAAGGAATTGCCTCATTATTTATCCTCTGTTATTTGTGACAGGACTTGTGATGGACTTGTCTACGGTACAATAATTTTCTCAATCTGTTCTTGAAGCTGAATTCCAGATGAAACTGCAGAAATCTTACCTGAAAATAGGCTTGACTGTCTCTCATACATGTACAAACTTTGACGTGTTATAATTCATTATGAAGATCTTTTGTACCTTAAATCCTCATAGAAGTCACTGTGAAAAATACACAAGAGAACTCTAGTTACGCTCTTGAAGTCACACGTGCGTGCATTTTTTTTCCTGTGACACAGAATCGGATCAGGAAAATTGAGAACCTAGAGTCGCTTCAGTCCCTCCGCTTCTTGACCCTTGCAGACAACCAGATTGAGAGAGTGGAGAATCTGAGCGTGCTCCCAGAGCTCAAGCTGCTGGACCTGTCGTCCAATCAGATTCGAGACTTTAACACAGGTGAGACTTTTAAAACCAAACTTTTCAAGAACAACCGTGACGTTCCTTGTTAGTTAATCGTTGATTGGTAGAATCCCACCACTTGGTGGCGCTCTTCAGGTCATACAACCAATCTATTGTATCTCAATCGTGTCTGCAGAACTTTCCAAAAGTGTCGGATGCCTTCTCGAGAATTCTTTTTCTTGAAAATTGTTTTGACAGATGAGCTTCCGAAGACTTTATTGATACTCAACATGGAGGGAAACCCATGCAGCCAACAGCCAGAATACAGGTAACAGAAACACCTTTTTAACAAAAGCCTTCGTAAGGGCCACTCAAGGTGAGAGCTACACAAAGAAGAGATAGAGCATGAAATCCGAGAAAAAAGAAAACAGAAGACAGGTATAGATGTTATGATTGAACTGGGACAGATTATTATCAACTGGAAAACAAGATAAGGAGTTCAGAGTGAGGCAGTGTGCGGGAAGAAACCTGATGGATACATCTTAGAATTTGTTTTGGGAACAATGAATGTACATTGTATGTGGATGTGAATGGATGGAGAAGCGATGGTTAGGAGGAACCAGAGAAAGACCGTTGAGCACATTCCCTTAGGGACCGTGACCATTCAGCCCCGGTATGAAAAGGGCCCAGCGGTAAGCTCGTCCCCTCCCAAGAAGTCCTTTTGTACCGTCCCAGCTACCAGCCCAGGAGCTGGTCTGGTTGCTAATCCTGGGGTCTATTGTTTGCAAGTATTGACACATGTAATATATCCCAGAAGAAACCTGCTTGTGGTTTTCATCTCTCAGCGCGCAACAATAGAGCACTTTCGTCGGCACAGATCAAAACCCCTGCCATGCGGTTTCGCGCACAATGGGACCGTAAATTAAAAAGGCGTTTGGAAGGATTTTATCTTTAATCCGGTAAATCTGCTATTGTTCTGCTCTGGGCGTTCTCTGTAGGGCAATAAAGTGATGCGCCTGACTGACTTCAAAACTTCTCGTCAGACAGGACCATGTACCGGACGAGACTGGGCTGAAGACCGGACTGGCTCTGGACCGGACGAGGTACCGGGAGCCCTTTTCATACCAGGGCTGAATGGTCACGGACCCTTATAATATCTGCAAAACAAGTTTGGTAGGCTGACAATGATCTTTCCTAGGCATAAGCTCAATTGGTAGAGCACTGGTGTGGCGTCCTGGATGTTACAGGTTCAAATCTTGCTCCAGTGAATTTCTTTTTTCAACCTCACTTTGATTCTGATTTTTAAAAATTTGTTGGACAGAAAGAGAATTCTCCTTGCCTTCCCGAACCTCAAACAGTTGGATGGCGACGACGTAACCAGACAAGAACGGTTGGAGGCGGGCTGCGATGCCCTCGCCCCGAGCTCCGATGAAGCGGACGATGAGGAAGATATTGAAGATGGAACGGAAGAGATAACTGGACAATCTGCTGAAGGTAAGATGCAGTTATTTTTGGCCACACTATAGAGAAAAAAAGATTGTAGTATACTTCAAAGATTTCAATATTGATAAAAAAAATTGAGGTTCTTCAAAAACCATGCAAAAGTACGTCCTTAACGATGAAAAAGGAATAGACACACACTGGGAATCCTCAAGTTGGTCCGTAGAAATCTGAGTTTGAGATGCGAGTTTGAGATTTCAGTAGAAATGAAGAACAAGAGTATGGAAGTACAGGAATAGTGGTCCCTCAAAACTGTACCTGTAAAGATGTGTGTGTGCTCACATGAGCGGTAAGATCGATCTGATACACAGTGCCCTCTGGAGACGTGCGTACAATAGGGAACAAAAGATTGTATACGTCTCCACAGGGCAATTTCTATAGATGCATAGTCTCCACAAGGTTTTCACGAAATAGATATATGGATTTTACTCAAAAACTAGGAATTTCCAAGCTATGTTGATCCGTCACAAATGGAAAGGTTTTAGGAAAGGGATATTAAGTCCAAATGTCAACCAAGGAAATTAATTCTGGTTAAAATAAGAGCATTTTTAAACTACACTTTCCAACTCGAGAACTTTAGTACACGAGAACAAAGGAATGTCTCCACAAGGATACAAATTCCAGTATGTGTGCACCATCCACTGTTTATGATTAGACTTCATTTGCCGTGTTTTTTCTTGTTCAGACGTCTTGCAGTTGTCAGCAGATCTTATCAAGCAGTCGCGCCTCCGGTCCCAACGGCAAGCCACAGAGCACTACAAGCACATGGAGCAGCTGGTGGCAGCCCGCAGCCAATCACAGCTGGCCATGAACTCGGCCAGGTCATCGCTGGGCATGACCCCGAGGTCAGAGGGCGCGACCTCGGCACTGGGGAACGGGAGGTGGAGCGCGGGGTCGTCTGCATCTAGGTGATTCTTGGAGTGTCCTGAGAAAGGAGCGAAGGAGATCTACTCGATGATGAAATATGATAAATCAAAGTCAAATTTTGTTAAAAAGTGGCAGTTTACTTCGGGAATTTGAGCGAGGACAATTCGGGCGATTCACAATGCAGTGCGCCACCAAGAGTTTGCCACGGAGAGTTCATTTTTCCCAGTGCATTGTGGGAGATGGGCGACAAATTCGCAGCGCGGGACATTTGAAATTGTTAGTTTTTCCGGCCAGAAAGTTCGTAAGCGTATGATTCGAGTTTCTGTTTGCCCTTTTCTTTTCGTTTTATCAATATGGAGTTTTTTTGTAAGGCGGCAGAACGCTTTGCCCCAATCTATAACAAATTAGCTCAAGTTTTCTACCGACACTCGTTCAAATGTTTTGTCGACCGTGACCTTGAAAAACAAACTCTCCGTGGCAAACTCTTGGTGGCGCACTGCATTGTAAATAGCCCAAATTGTTCAATTTAGTGTACAGAGGCTTGCAAAGTCACATTCACGAATTGGACACAAAACTGACACAGCATGAACAGTTGTAAACATTTGCTCTGTAAAGGGCCTGCTTGTGATTTAACTTGTTGACAATTCTGATTTGTTAGAAATGTACCCTATATTACTTGTATATAGTACTGATACAGTTATCGCTGTTTGGTCTGTAAATAAATGCTTGGCAATTTCGTAGTTGACAGCGTTGAACTGTGTGTGTTGGTTTGTTGCAAGGCGTTTTCTCCAAAGGCTTCAAGACTGAATCAGAAGTCTTAACGTAACATAGACCTGCAACCATCGGTTAACTAGTGGTTGGTCCATGGTGTTCTAGGACATGCATACAAAACTCCAAGCACTTTATTTGAACTGTTAGTAAAGTAGTAGTCAAGTCTGTCTTGGGGTAACATGGCCCATCAGGTCGGCATTTATCTGGGCAATTCCACGGTTACTCATGTTACATTTTTGATGTACTTTTGAGTTTCCTTGGGCTGTAATTACCTTACTGAAAAGGTTTAATGACTGTTATCCCCATGGTAGATAGAGTAGACCTAGACCTAGCTAAGCACCAAAGATGACTTCCAGAAAGATGTGTTGTGTATGATAAACAAGACGCACAATATCGGTTACATAACATTTTCGTAATGTGAGTAACCGAGTTTGTGCGTCTCGTTTATCTTACATAACATATTTTTCTGGATGTCATCTTTGGTGCTTAGGTAGGTCTAGGTTTACTCTATCTACCATGGGGATAACAGTTATTAAGCCTTTTCAGTAAGGTAATTACAGCCCAAGGAAACTCAAAAGTACATCAAAAATGTAACGTGAGTAACCGTGGAATTGCCCATCTCCAGTTTTCAAGGCATGAAAACAACTGGAAATAGTTCTATTCCCCCCTGGATGGGGCGCCTGTCCATCGCAGGTTACTCCCCAGCTCATGCTGGTACGCATTTACACTCCTGGGTAGTGGGGGTAAAGTGGCTTCCCAGGGACACAACATAATGACCAGCGGCAGGATTCAAACCCCTGACCCTCTGATCACGAGTTGCGAACCCTAACCACTAGGCCACACTCCCCCACTATGTGGTCAAACATAATTACTACTGAATCCATGCAGTAACAGTGGGTGGCGGTAAGTGACAACCCACCATAACTCAAATGTTTGGGGCACACCGGACGCACTGGTTGTGCGCAAGTGTGTGAAATTCATACAACTTATTTTTAAGTGTCTTGAATGTCCATGAATGCTGGATGTTTGCGGACGGAGACTTCCAAGTGTCTGTAATATCTTTCTCTGTTACCACCGAGAGTACTAGTGTGCATGTGCCCGGTGATTCCCGAGTACTGGCTCCCTGCTGTACATTGCAATACACACAGCTGATGATAACCAGTGAATATAATAATAATCAGCATTTAAGAACGCTCTTATTAGTAAACTAAATCACAGCGCGTACAGTATTATTATTACTCCTGATCATTGGGCCAATTAAACATTCCAAATACCATCTCGGCTCCCTGGGGAGTATACAGCTCGATGCTGCCTGTTAGGCGCAAGCAAGCTTATTCAATCACAATAACCATCTCTGCCCTCACAGGTACCCATTTACTCCTGGGTGGAGAGAAGCAATGAGTGACAAAGTGCCTTGCTCAAGGGCACACGCACCATGACCCCGGCTGGACTCGAACCCACAACCCGCAGCTTTACCCACAGACCACGAATCCAGTGCCCTTAACCACGAGGCCACAGCACTTGGTGCCTTCTACAAAGAGAAAAGAAAATCTCAAGAAAAGTTGAAAATTTCATATTGCCACACAAAAGTTTAACAATTGTAAAAGGGGGCCCAAGATTTTGAACACAGAATCTTTCCAAAGGCAACGCGATGTGGGAACAGTAATAAGCAAAGAGGTAAACAAAAATAAATTGGACACCAAATTGTCATTTGATCGTAGAATTATCCATTGTTTATTCCACAATTGCCACCACTGCTCTGTTTATCTCAGAAACAACAGATTAATGGACCATGTACAAATAGTTTTTTTCTATCATAATATAAATCAAAAAAGGGTGATTTTTTTTTCTTTCTTCATATTTTACATAATACAATTGCCTATCTATAGTGTACCATACGTCTATAATTAGTAAGTCGAGTCTCAATTGTGAAATAAGCAAGTTATGCATAGCGAAAAATACAGTTTCCACCTCATTAGTTCTTTGTTGCATTATTTAAATTTATTTAAGAGTTTTAATACAAGGGCAATTTTTCTTTTTTTTAAGTCAAATTACTATACAAATATCAGAAAAAAAGTAGATACAATATGCACAGTTCACCGCCTTTTTATTTTTCTTGGCAGATCTCCTTTTTCTTAAATTTTTACATAATTTGTTTTTATCAAGATTCAACTGCCCTTTAAAACCCCAAAGAATATATATATATAAACTTATTCTACGAAATAACAAAAATATGGGGCGTGATATACAATTCAATACTGGGCCTGTTATTTCAAAGACAATAATATTCACCGGTTCACAACCCTTCAGTGTATGTTGCGATGCATGGGCAATGCAGTCTGGGGGAGGGGACCAGTGACAAACAGTTAGAATTTTTTTAATATTAATTCAGGCTGGTTTGTTAAAAGGAAAAAAAAATTCACTGGTTCACAACCCTTCACAGTACTTAACCATGCGTGGACAATGAAGTCTTGAGGAGGGGACCAGTGACAAAGAGTCAGTTTTTTTTAATATTAATAAGACGGGTTTGGGGTACAATTTCGCAATTTTAGGGCACGTAAGAGGTTTGGATTTAAAATATAACCCTAAAAAATACATAAGTCGTAATTATCTGAGCAGAAATCCCGTTTGGTCTAACAAACTGCAAACAAGTTATGTTTAGCAGAAATTTTCTGAGGAAATCTGTAAGTAAACAATGTTTTTTTTTTTAAATGTGCATTATTAATAAATGCGTGAATGCAAACTGTGATACCAAATTTAAATTGTCCATTCATTGGTATTTTGAGAATATGTTAATTTAAGAAAACTAAAAAAGGACAAGTGACATTACATAACATTCCTTTGTGACTATTCCAATATACGCGCAAAATTCCGGGGGAAAAAAACAAGCAGTAAAATGTGTCCCTAGTTGCTTTTTTAGTGTACACGGCTCTATACAGATAAGTTACAATATTAATGCATCTCAACTTATATTTTCCATATTTACATAATAAACCTTTATGATTTGATAATTCCTAACAAAACAAAAAAGAACAAAACAAAAAGACAGCAAAATGCCACAAAGAAGTCAATGCAAAATGGTAGAAAATAAGGAAACATTACACCAAAATGCAAAAACACTATTATCGTGTTTCAATTTTAAAGTTCTGCGATTGACCTTTCCTGTGCAGACTTAGGTTGCACTTTTATTTATAATGAAAAATTATCAAACTTAATATAATATTTAGAATATTTTTACTTAATTACTGGAAGATTTGTTTTTGTTTTTTTAATTTGGTATCGACAGCATGAACCAAGATTTCTCTGCTGTCTCAAACTGGAGAAGTTCTGGATTAACTTCTTCAAAATTTTTATATCCTACATGTACATTGACTATGAGACACTGTGTATTTGGATATGAGACAATTGGGTAATTATTAATTAAGAGAAGTATTCATTTCCTGAAAGCAACTGATAAAATGTACATGTATGTATATGCTGATAAAAAATGATGGAAAACCAGTCAGAAGAAGCACAAAACTGGCTGGTAAATTTTGTTGTTTAACCAATTTTTGTCTGTGATTATTAAGTCCAGCGCTCCGTGAATTTGGACTTAGTTCGTGACCGTGACAGGTACATCACAGACATTAAAAAGTTAACAGAAGACAAACTCCATAATTATTTTTTCTTCTGTAGTTTGCCCGGGGTTGCCCGTGGGTGCCACGTGCCTAGAGAGGGTGCCTTTTTACCACTTTAGAGAGCACCGTGGACGAGGCACACCGCATGCGCGTGCTGATTCACGCGTATAGCGCCAAGTACGCGCAACTAATTATAAGCATCAGGCGTCGTCTAGTCTTTCGAAATTTCTTCTACTGGTCTCCCAAAACTCTCCCTTCCTTGCCGTTGAGGGGGTACTTGTGCACGAAGCCCATAGTAACCCAATTTGACACACCTCAAAAGTGTAAATTTTAACAAAAGAGAGGCCATTTTAAAAATACAAAATGGTCAAAGGTCATTATAATCTATTACTTTCCTTATTACATACTCGACGTAGGACTTCTATAAATAGTGGATCCAAAGCCAAATCAACGGCTAAAGAAAAAGTTATAATATAACACTGAGACAGAGTAATAAAAGAGCCCCCTTTTTTTTTTACTTTACAAAATAGTTTTAGTTTCTTTGCTGGCATTTTGAAGGGCAAACGGGTGTTTTGAATGAATAAACATAGAAAAGTACGAAAACGGAAAATACTCGACAAGTTTATTTGGGGGGCTTCGCGAAATTTCTGCGTTGAGCAGTTTCATGGAATTCGCCCCAAAATGATTTGACCTATTGACAGTAATGCCATTTATTTGTTACAAATATCCCAATGGAATGTGTACAGTGATACAAGGTTTTGTTTTTGTAGAAAGATCTCACTATCAAACTGAGATACCAAATATAATCACTGTCAGTCTACCCAGAAAGGATGGGCCAAGGGGAGCTACACCAAAGCATGCTGGGATATGCCATAAACACTATGCTTTGCCATGGCGCTTTGTCATCCAGCACCCTACTGTACCACATGTGTTCTGAGATACCTGTTGTAGGAAACGTCATGGGGTAAGGCTTGTCTGGATGATGTCCTGGTTCAAAACTGCTGAGCTGTGAGACGATACCTACGTGAACTTTTCTTTAAACTCCGAACAAATTTCACCTAATAAGAGGGTGGTTCTGGAGGCGGCCCCCGTTTTACACCTGCAAGGAGTGGTCAGAGAAAGAAATAATGATTACAATTTTTAATGCTCTTTGTAAATATGAATTCAATTTCAACGTTCTTTTTAAATATGAATTCAATTTCATTTCCTTCTTAAAAAATATTAACCCTAACCTCCCCAACTCCATCAAAATCCATCCCCCCATTTTGGTGGATTTTGGGGGACTTGGTCCTGCAGGCCTAAAGCAAAGCATGCATTGAAAGCAGTGTGATTGATGGATTTTGGCGGACTTGGTCCAGTACTTAGTAAAAGACAGTAGGGAGTTAGGGTTAAAGGAACATTAAACCAAAACATTATCTACTCACTGTTTGAACATACAATAAACAAGGATATGGGTCATATTTATAAATTTTCAGTCCACTTTTTCCCTGTCTCTGTTACATCTGACATCAATGACTTTATAATTCTGATGCACTCCTTAATGCAGTCATCCTCCAAGAGTGATTATGAATAGCAAACTACATATGTACGTACATGTGCCCAACAAATAAAAAATGTGTTTGAAGTAATTCCTAACGATACTTGAATGTCAAATTACAAAGTATTAAGGTAATGTGGAGACAGAAAATGTCACGCTTAGTTTTTTGTTTGGAAAAGGGATGGCACTATCCCATTCAGTGACACTTCTTCTCTGGTGACTTGTATGGCTTAGTATGGGTTTTAAGCATGACTTAGTCTGTGCCGGTTAAGTCCGATTGAAATGTAGAGTGGGCAGACATAAGAGATTAAGTGACTTTGATAGGTTGGGTAATCAAATGTGATTAATGGTGCGAGCAGAGGATTATGTTCGCAAATCCTCTTGTTATATAGCATGCTTTCGTGCCTTGCTGTTGGGCACTCTTCAGTTGCAGATTGGTGATTCAAGTAAGAATCGAAGCTGACTCGCGGAAAAGTTGTGGTTGGGATTGGGTATATGTTCCAATCAGATTTCGTAGCACTCGAGTGTTTTGAGTACAGCCATATGATTTCAGTTGGTTCCGATTTGTTCCTCTAATCAGGAGAGCAATATGTTGCGGGTTTTGTTAGGTTCGGTTGGTTCTTCGAAAAAGCCGGAGTTTGTTGGGAGTGGGTTTAGCTCTTGATTTTGCTGTGGTAGTTTCTCCCGGATGTTTTGACGGCTTTTCTGAAGGCAATGGATTGGGATTTCGGAAATGTTTCCGTAGAGTAGTTTATTGCCTTGGATTATGTTCCAGTGCTTGTTTATTGCTCAATTTAGGTCAAGGTGTGTTACGGCTGGTTGTATGTTGTGGTGAAGACAGGTGGAGTTTGTTTTGATTTTTCTTCATCTAGAATTTAATGTGTTAAACTTGTGTGCAAGTTTAAATTTAGTGGTTTCTGGGTATTTTTCTAGCATTTCACTAGAGGTTGATTTCGGATGCCAATTGGTGGGTGGTTTGAAAGGATGGTTTTTAGAGCATTTGTTACGCATTAGTGATGTACACTTCAGTCTTCGGTTGAAGATACATTATTGATGTTGCTTACGAATGTTTCGCGGTTTGGTTTAGCAGAAGCAGGTACATGTGTGACATTGAGACCTTGTCCAAAAAGCAATTATTTCGGTTTGCGATAGTTTTGCTTTGGATAGGTATGTTACGAAGGCTTCATAATGTTCTGCTCATGAGCGCAAATGATTGGATTTGGCTCGGTTGGTTTTAAATTTTCATTTACCAGACAAGCGGTTTGGTTTTGGTTGTCTCGTGATCTCTTAGTTTCTTTGTTGAATGTTTCATCTTGCTATGATTTCCTGTGGAAGTTTTGGTTTGAATATAACGGATAAGGTATAGATTGAGTTATATTCCAGATATTATAATGATGTTATAATGGACGGTGGATGGCAGGATATCTCTTTTGAGAAGATGTGGTGGTCTTGAGAAAGACCGTTGGGTTTGGAGATCAATGAAGATGCTGTAGCTTGGTTTGTTGGCTTGCTCTGAGGGTGTATATGCTTTTTGTTCGGAAAATTGTTTGGAAAAGGGATGGCACTATCCCATTCAGTGACAATTCTTCTCTGGTGACTTGTATGGCTTAGTATGGGTTTAAGCATGACTTAGTCTTTGCCTGTTATGTCCGATTGAAGTGTAGAGTGGGCGGACATAAGAGATTAAGCGACTATGATAGGTTGGGTAATCAAATGTAATTAAAGGTGCGAGCAGAGGATTATGTTCGCAAATCCTCTTGTTAGCAATAGGGGAATTCTTTGGTAACGGAATTATGCCCATTTGTCACTTTGTCAAGGATTATTCTTTCCCAAGAAAATATGTTCTATGCTAGGCAACTAATCTAAACATGGAAAGGGAGCCAAGACCCAATAAAATTGATTGACCGCTTAAAAAAAAAAAAACCCACAAGATTACTCTTTAAGGGGCGGAGTTTAATATCGGTAACGCAATTACGGATGGAGGACAAGCATATTTGAGTTCTCGCATAAATTAATAAAACTCTCTGAAGTTTTGAAATTTTAAAATGGGACACTACCTGTTATTTGTAGAGTTCAGGGTTGTTGTTTAACTACAATGCAGAACAAAGTTGAAAAAATAATCACTCTTTTCATAATCTGCATTTTAATCACGGTAACGGAATTAAGCCTGGGCGGTAACGGAATTACACCATAGGTTTACATGTAATAGGTAAATGCAATACATTAACATTAAATTCAACATAGACTCACCACAATACAAATTTTAGAAGTTTATAAAATGGCACAAGGGGAAAGCTACAGGTAGGTGAAAATTAGCAGATCAAAGTGTAAATGTAGGCCTCAACATGTCTGGGCTTCATTTTTTTAGGTCAAAGGTCAAGGTCAAATGAAATCAGTCCGGTGATGGCTGCATTGCTGGTCAGCAGATTTTAGAATTTGCCTAATTAACAGACCAATCCATTAAGTCCCACCCCCTTACATATTGACCAATCACAGGATTGCCTACATCACCACTGTACTTGAGGATTTTACCGCGGCTGACTTTAGGTGGCAAACGTGTAGCAAAGGCTGTGATTGGTCAACACATTCATTTTGTCGACAATCAGATAGTGCCTGAGTATTTCCGAGTATACGGTATATGTATTTTCGGAATTGTTTCCGTAGAGTAGTTTATTGCCTTGGATTATGTTCCAGTGCTTGTTTATTGCTCAATTTAGGTCAAGGTGTGTTACGGCTGGTTGTATGTTGTGGTGAAGACAGGTGGAGTTTGTTTTGATTTTTCTTCATCTAGAATTTAATGTGTTAAACTTGTGTGCAAGTTTAAATTTAGTGGTTTCTGGGTATTTTTCTAGCATTTCACTAAAAGGTTGATTTCGGATGCCAATTGGTGGGTGGTTTGAACGGCTGGTTTTTAGAGCATATAATTTACAGAACAACAATAATAAACATTGGTCATGTACGGTACATGGTCCTTATGAAAGAGAACCAATCATACCAAGACATCATCATAATCTGACAAGAAATACAAAACCTTGAAGTATGATCAAACACAAGGGATCTTCCATTTTGTTCAAGGTCAGACGGTTTACACAGCATTTTCAAAAAGGTCATGAGAATGTGTCTGAGACATGAGACTATGTCTGGCCTATTTTTTCCTGGTTTACTGCCGCAGACATGCCATGTTGCGAACCGGCCGATTTCCGCCCCAGAGGGAAACATTTAATTATAGAGGGCTTGGAAAAAGGTCAATGTCTTTAACAAACGGATTCGGGAATGTCGAATACTGGGTGAATAACATTAACTGCTAGATAGATTGCTTCAACTTGAATTAGGGATGATACTGTCAATTAAAAAAAAAAAAAAAACAAGTCTGAAAATTGGACGAATGGTCTGAAAGATGAATCTCTTTCTATACTGATAATGTCTTTCTCTCAGATTCAAGAAATCTGATTTCAGACAAAAAGTCAAAAAAATTCATGCAAGGTGAATTTGGGTGTATAAAAAGGGTTTTTTTTCTCATGAATTTGACCAGACATGGACAATATTTCTGGTTTGTTTTTGGGAAATATGGGAGAGATCATCAATCTTAAAATATAATTTAAAAACAGTACAAGATAATGACCATGTCTGTGTATTCAATGTGAAAAATAAGAAAATTGTACACTTGTGTAAAAATCACACACTTTTTTTATTTCCGAACCAATTTTTTTTCAAGTTGCCTAATTCTGAATTCTACTTCATGTTGAACTTCCTAAAATCCAAAGGGATGTTCCATTCTAGTAAGATAACACTCACCTCTGTTTACATGTACCTACATTTGCATACAGTACATTGTATGTAGGTAAACAGAGGTGAGGTGTTTTCTGTTATGGAATAAGCATTGTCGTAAAAACAGAAACAGCAAAAACAGGTCAACACATGCAAGTCAAACATTCTTCCTGTCAACGATCGTGTCACATGCCATTCATCATGCAATACCTAACTAAACAAAAAGAGTTTTTGATTTTTCAACCCTGCGTTCAACCCCGCATCGTTTCACACTTGTTTCATGCAAATCAAGCTTATCATGCTCAGTTACTACTGTTTTGAACCCTGGCAAGATTTTTTAACCCGGGTTGAAAATCTCAACCCTGGTCTGGAGCAAGGTTGAGTTCAACCTGGGGCAAAATCGATCACAGGGTTGACGCAGGGTTGAAATTCTTCAAGTGTGAAACGATGCCTGTTTTCAACCCTGCCGCAACCCTGCGTCGACCCCAAGATTTGTCTGGTGTGAAAAGGGCTTACAATGTACGTGACATGCTCAGCGAAAACAAGTCCTGGTCAAATTGCAAGGAACATGCGTCACAGATCGTATGAAATTTTGATTTGTAATTTTGGCTTTGTAAACAATTTCAAATTTCTCTGGGTTTTGTGAAATCTGTTGTGCTCGTGTGAAAAAAGCTCCTTGAACTTGGCCCAGACTGTAATAATAATAGCGTAAGTTTTTTTTTTCACAAGGTACTATGGGGCAGTCCCTAATGCATTGAGGAATTGTATCTTGCAGCGTTTGCTGCTCTAAACTCACCTACTGCCATGACTGCTGTGTTCATTTTAATTACAGAATAAATGTAGATCACAGAGGAACAATAAACTTAATGTGGCAAACCTGTTCCAGTTTCACAAGGGTCTCTAGTTCAACATTATACAGTCGAATCTCGTTAGTACATTGTTTAAACTCTGTTAATAACGTACAAAATTCTGGTTATAACAAACATAAAGCCTTAGTCCCCACTGTGCATTTATGTGCACAATGAATGGGACTGATGTTCCTCTTAATACAAAATTCTGATATAACAAACAATTTGGCTAGGTCCGAACGAGTTTGTATTAACGAGACTCGACTGTACACAAATGTGCATTACTCCAAAACCAGTCTTTTGCACTGCAGTGAAAACTGAAGGCCGTCTTACATGTATGTCAATAAACTGTTTCTGTTTATAGAACTCTCTCATAGGACGCCATCTTCACAGGAAAATTACAACTGCTTGTTCAACGGTCAACGCCATTAGGTACATGTGCGCGCAGTGTGCAAAATATTCTAAAAATCTCGAAATTTCTTCAAAATACGGTGCAGCCGATGTGCGTTATGAAAATTTGATGCCCAAAATGCTGATGCACTCGTGACAATCTGTAGGAAGTGACGCCATTTGAGAGAGACCTATTTGCTTAGGAGGCTAAGAAATAATACTCATTTTAGAATTTAGAATAACAAGGAAATTGTCATGATTTCCTTTAAATTGTACATTTACTACAGATGACTCTAAGAGATAATTGCATAAGCACATGATGCGAAGTTGGACCCAATTAATACATTCATAACTTCCTTGAAATTCACTTGTAAGAGATGTTGTTATTTTTTACACATACTTCCTGGTATTTAAGAAAACATTCCAACACATTTGGGAAAATACTGGTATCTAAAATCCACCGCATCTTCAAAGTTTTCATGAAGAGATGAGTAAACGTGGTAAGGAATATTACATTTGTTTCTTTGAGGGAACTGTATCGGTATGTTCATAACCTTGAATCCGAATTTTTTTTTTTTTAACTGAAAATGATCTTCTAGGCAAGAATTACAAAGAGGACTTGGACCCCCAAAAAGGTAGACACTGGCTGAGGAGATGCCAGTTACGCAACCACACCCATTCCTTTCCAACATCCAACTCCTGTTCTATCAACCACACCCACCCAACCACGGCCAACCCACCAAGCCCTCAATCTTTATGCATCTTGTGCCATGCAAGCAAGCTCTGGGCGTGCCACACAAGCTCAACTTACCAGCCTCAAGCTGAACCACACCATATCCTACGCTCATCCCAACCACACCCACATACCACGCCCATCCAAACCACACCCATCCCAACCCCACCCTTATTGTCTGTGCATCTCTTGCAATGCTATGAAGCCCTGGCAATGCCACATATGCTCAACTCACCATCCTCAAGCTGGACCACGCCCGTCTCCACCCCCTCCCCCATCCCCACCACGCCCATCCCCTCATTATTTATGCATCTCTTGCAATGCCCTCAAGCCTTGGGCGTGCCACACATGCCCAACTCACCATCCTCAAGCTGGACCACGCCCGTCTCCACCCCCAATCCCCACCGCGCCCATCCCTACCACGCCCTCATTATTGATGCATCTCTTGCCATGCTTTCAAGCACTGGGCGTGCCACCCAAGCCCAACTCACCATCCTCAAGCTGGACCACGCCCATATTCCCCCCCCCCCATTCCCACCACGCCCTCATTATTTATGCATCTCTGGCCATGCAATCAAGCACTGGGCGTGCCACACAAGCCCAACTCACCATCCTCAAGCTGGGCTTTTTCGGACAACTGTTCCGTTGTGTAATAAACCGAGTCAATGGGCAAGTAGCGCACTGCGTCTGTCGGCACAGTTAGTCAATATTCAGGCTCTCAATAAAAAGCGTTCAATATCAATAAATCACAGAGTTGCAATAAACTGCGTTAACTTTCATATTCCGTCTGGCATGTGAAACTGCAAGTCTATTTTTCAAAGGTCAGCCAAAGATTTCCCCCTTTTTTAAACGAGTCAAAAAGAAGCTACATTGTTATTATCAACACGATTATCACAACAAAATGTTTCTCCTCGTTTAGTCACACTTCAAGGCTGAAATTATTCTAAAAACTGTTCAGACAAAAATGACAAAGCAAAATTAATGTTTGAGCTGCCACATTCACTTACACTCGAGTAAACTTTAAGTTCAGATATTTCCTGGGGAAAATTTGGTGCATTGTTAGTTGATGTTCAATGTCTCACCATTATTTTCACCCGGACAACTAACTGCTGAAGAACTCAGTGTTACGTTTGTTTGAAAACAAAAACAAAAATCAAACAACTTTAAGTTTCACGAGCACACTTACTTTGTCTATTGGACACTGATTTGCTGGGGTAGGTCTTGTTCGTGACTTCGAAAGGGTGAGGATTGGGAAACTCGTTCTCTGATCGGAACCGGAACCGATTCTCAAAGGAATCATCTAAAACAAAAAGAGATAAATAAATGAAAAAAGTGATAAATAATTTTAGCCGGTGTAAAAACCCTTGCATATGATGCCCCAATACTTGAGTGTTTCTTTTTATATATAATTTATTTAAAACACCTAACAAGCATGTATGTATACATGTACGTGTTCTACATAACCCCCGAGGACAGACACACAAAGGGAGAACAACAGATCCTTTCAGTCCTCGGGAGTTGGGTGTTTTGTTTGAAACGGTCCTCTGTAGTAAGTTCCTGTGCTTAGTCTATGGGAGAGTTTTATATTACAGGGACAAAAGGAAACACAAAGCATTGTCCTCGAGAGTATAGTAAAACAAGAGTGTATGTACAGCGTGTGTGTATGTGTGTACGTGAACTATATACACCCCGAGGACAGACAGACAAAGGGAGAACAACAGATTCTTTGTTGTCCTCGAGAGTTCATCTTTTGTTGAAAACGGTCCTCGGTTCTGCATTTGTGTGCTTAGTCTATGGGAGAGTGTTATATTACAGGGACAAAGGAAAAGACAGAGCATTGTCCTCGAGAGTATAGAAAAACACGACTGTGTGTACATGCAGACGACACTACATTACCAACACATTTTATGTGCCTGTTGCATGGACAGATAAATTTATGTTATGAAAAACTTGGCAAGCCCTTGAACAATAACAGACACGTTGCATGTTTTGTTTGGATTTCCAGTACTCCACAATTTCCTTAGTTTCATTTGCATGTGAACTTTACTTGTAATTCAAATCAAAATAAATACTGTACCGAAGTCCAAAGGTGACAAGTTTTCTGTCACAATTATTTAAAGATCATTTTGACTCCTGGAAAAACCCACACTGCAATTTTTTTTTGAAATTGGGTTTAGCAATAACAATGATACCCGGGGAAATTGGGTGGTTTTATTTATATGCCACAGGGCGAGCAGGGGTTATCCCCAACTTCATGCATTCTTTCACAACAAAACACCTGTCCGTAACAAAACCACTCAACCGTGCTGGTTCCTAGACATATTTTGACACCTGTTTCAGGTACTGTGCGCATGCTGGTATGATACCATTTACTGCGCGCCTATTTCCTCATTGTCCACTAGGATCTATATTCCTTGATTCCTGTTATCTGTCCTTTCCGTTCTTTAGCTGCGTGTTTGTTTTCTCGTTTTCCTGTCACGTTCCTCGCTACTCCCTGTTTGTTGTTTTTTGTGAGTTCCTGAAGGCATTTTACATGTATTTTGTTTCTGAAACTGCCTTCATACAGACATAGAACGACTTTATTTATTAAATAAATTCTATTTTGGCCTGTTTTTTTTTTTCATGCAGTTTCAATTGTGACCTACATGTACTCCTGTAGACCTGAACACTAATAGAGACATGTTTTTTACACTGGCTAAGTGACAGACTCCGGTTAACATTTCAACATCCCTGATGCAAAAGTCCATCAATTAGGAGGCTAAGTCATTCATTTTTGAGCTGCCGACCAGATACATGTGTGTATCTTTTGCAAAAAAAATTGACTGTCCAAAGTTCGTTCTGTGCCAAACAGGGTTTCGCCGTTAATTAGTAAACTGTAGTATGCAGTACTTCAGCTTATAAGTGGGCACATCACTCCTAGTATTTTTTAGTATTTGGCTACCGGTACATACATGTACATAATTTTTGTAGTATGTCGTAGTATGTCGTAACGCCATGGTCCAGTGGTTATGGTGTTTGACTCATGTATGAAGGTGCGTGGGTTCGAACCCTGCCAGGAACTTGGTGTTTGTGCCCTTGGGCAAGATAATTAACTACAATTGCCTCTCTCCACCCAGGAGTATAAATGGGTACCTGTGAGGGTCGAGGACCGATTGAGCGCTGATATCGGCTGCCGCGTGGTCCCATATCCTGATGAATGGGGTAATAATTGTAAAGCACTTTGAGATCGTTGATACGATGGAAAGCGCTATATTTCACAATTATTATTATTTATTATTATGTGGTACACATGTACTCTACCCCAAAGTAAGTCTTAGGGGGTGAGGGTTATGGCACGAACAGTTGTGAAATATCTATGTACTGTGTGCTATAATATCGCAAGAAATACTTGTATTCTGGGACAGTTTTCCTACTTGTTTTGCTGCAGGAAATGAAGCCTACTTTGAAGATGGCAAACAATTTTTATCTCTTTGATGAAATTTTCATCAAAATACATGAAAAGGTCCATTAACTGTTGAAGAGTAAAAACAAATTGTAGTTGTTGACATAAAGCCTCAAGTTTCAGGTACACATGTACATGTACATGTACTGAACATGCAAAGGTGTGTGCAGAATATACATGTATACAATGTATACAATATACAATGTATAAGATTATGACATGTACTTCCTGGTACGATAAATTAACAATACAAGGCCCTGTGGTGATTATTCTCAAACGGGATACCAGACGTACATTTTGAATAACACATATAATGCCACGGTGAACTCTTCATGCATGGATGACTTGTCATTTCTATGTCATTCATTGTTAACAGGCGATCAGCTGGATTTGACTTACGTGTATGTAAAATGCGTACCGTTATCAATTTGTTCTTGGATCATGTATGCACATGTGTGCAGCTGAATGCTTAGCGCAAATTATTCAAACAAAACACTTGTGCTCATTGACTTTACAATCAAATTAACATTAAAAAAATCTCAGTGATTTTTTTTTTGACAGGACATTTTCTAAATCTGCTAAAATATTCTTCGCAATACCCGAATGGCATTTGATAATTTACTTCTTATACTGCAAATTAAATTCCACTCCAATCAAAGTTGTCATGCTGGACTGGTCAGTTTCTCGACGTACAAATTCTGGTTGATTTTTGATAACCACATTCACAGAAAATCCAGGGGAATTTTTTTTCAGGGACATTACAGAAACTCGAACTTACCATATCCATTATTGTTTGTAATTTGCGGTGCTCCTGAAGAACGCGCGCCTCTACTTGGAGGCGGGGGTGGCGGCGGACCAAGCGACGAACTGACGTTTCCGACAATTGAGGGCGGTCTTTCCCTCGAAGGGGGCGGGGGAGGAGGCAGGCTTTGTGCTGGGGTAGGACCTGACCGAGATGGAAGGGGCGGCGGCCTACTGGATGGGGGTGCTGGCGGTGGCGGTGGACCACTTGAGACTGGGCGACCGACGTTTCTTGCTGGGGGAGGGGGCGGCGGAAGTCCTGATGGTCTGGATCCGCTGTCGCTTGGTGGAGGTGGGGGAGGGGGTCTGCTGTTCCCGGATCTTGATGGAGGGGGTGGGGGCGGGGCCCCGCCAAAACTTGGTCCATTTGTTTGCGACGAATAAGAATGCATGGGGTCTGGAATTGGAGGAGGGGCCTGTCTCCCTCCGGAGGTTTGCCTAGATGGGGGCGGGGGTTGAGGTGCTGAGGGAGGGGGCTCTCTGGCTGGGGGTGGGGGTGGGGGTGGCATGCGTCCCACCGATTGCCTGGCTGGTGGTAGCGCCGGCGGCCGTGATGATGATGGTCTAGGGGGCGCCTGGTCCTTCTGCCTGCCATTTGGAACGTTGCGCCCCGGTGGAGGTGGGGGAGGCAGATTCCCAACCGACGGGGGGCGTGGCTTATTCTGTTGCGGGGGTGGAGGCGGAGGTGCCGCTGTGTGACCTCCTGAGTTGTAGGCGGGCCTGGAGTTGCCCCCTCTATCGTTCATCCAAGATGGTTTGTTTTGCGTTGTACTTGAGTCCTTGGGCGGGCCAGGTAACGGTCTGCCTGGCAGATTCGGCGACGGGGGCCCGTGGCGGACAGCGTTGTGTGATCCTGGAGCGGAAAGACGTGGAGATGGAGGCTGGGTGCTCCCCGCCGATCGGCTGGGGGGCGGGGGAGGCAGCTGCGAGCCAAACTGTCTGTTGCCTAGTGATGGGCCACTGTTGCCTATGTGATTGGTTGATGGGGCGTTTCTCTCTTTGGTACCTGCGAACGAGTTGAGCGAGATATTTTGTCAGCATTCCCTTAATCATCAATCAGTCACACCATTTCATTTCGACCACAATATTATTGAGACCTAAAGATCTGGCTCCAGATACAAAACAATAGTTGACTGGTATTGTCGACTGCTGTGATGAGCCATAGGTAAAATTATGGTCAGACATCGAACATTAACTGACTATTATCATGTTTATCTGAACAAAATTTGTGTTTTAAGGTGTTCTACGGGCATGCCACGGCGCAAAATTGATTGTGCTAGGTCCCTAAGTAGTTTTTGTGTTATAATTTCACCCTTTTGATATGGAACATGTTTTTTTGATACCCTAAGGTTGTACGGCACCCTAAACTTTGCCTTAGTGCTATGAATCCTTAGGGCAAGAATTTTGTTATAAAATACCTATGGACCACACCACAGCATACAGCTGTATATTGTTATTGTAAATATTAATATTTCTCACCGGAACCTGCGGGTAATCTGCCCGTCTTCTTCAGTTGTGGTATCCCGCCGCTGAACAGTCCACCCATCCCACCACCCCCTCCTCCACCGCCCATCCCCCCTCCCCCTCCCCCTCCCCCTCCTCCTCCTCCCCCACCTGGTCTGCCACCTCCACCTCCTCCGCCTCCGGGTTTCTTGTCATTTGCTGAAAAAAATAAATCAGACAGAAAAAACCTTGCTTTTTAAAGCTATAGTCCATCATTTGCAGCTATCCGAAAAGTAACTGGCGTAATTATTGTTCAAAAACACACTTGGTTGAAAGATAGTAGGGGGACTAAACTCCCTGTGAAATTATTCTTTCTGGCAAGCTGTCATTTTGAAGTAATCAACGAAAGAAGGCCTTTCCAACAGTGCTTCTTAAGACGCACTGTAGGAAATTTAAATTAGTAGTTCGTTTTGTTATTCGGCGAAGCGCGCGCAAGCATTGGCACGACGCACACGCACGCGCGGTTGCTATGATTCGTCGGATCAGTGCGCGACATTGCGTGGCTGCAATCGGCTCAGTGAGACGCTGAATTCAGGCCCAATTCAAAACATGATTCAGCAACTTTTGATTTGAAATTGAGATCCTAGAATGCTGTTTTTCTCGGAATATACAGCTGAAGCTGAGCTGAAACTTCATCAGGTTAGTTGCTCAGTACCCTTCTTTAGATTTTGAGCACTTTTGTTGCTTCGAACGAACAAAATGCACAAATTACAAATGATGGACTATATCTTTAACTATTGTACCATCAAGAATCATGTCCGAGTCTAATTCTTAAATCCAATTCACTACATTGTGTTGGGCCCAACTCAGGTCGGTTTTGGTTTCAGACAAGCTAACGAAATGCATTTATTTTCCATTGATTAGACTCTGAAGCCATTCTAAACATTAGTAACAGTTAGTCTTTCAATGTAATGGCTCTTCAAATGTTGAACGGTACACGTAATTTAGTAATTCAAATCTTCAGGATTTGGTTCTGCAGCGGGATTCGTGCATGTAGTCTGAAACAGGTTTGATTTAATTCACTGTGTTGGTGGGAATCCGAGGTCAATTTTGATATCAAGTCAAGAGTTTTGAAGATCGAGTGTAAAGTGGAGTGCTGTGGTCCAATGGTTTCTGATGTTCGACACACGTGCCAGGGTTTACAGTGCTTGTGATCTTGGGCAAGACACTTAACTACAATTGCCTCTCTCCACCCAGGAGTGTAAATGGGTACATGTGAAGGTAGAGCCATCAGTGGCATTGGCCAAGTTCGCGCAAGGACTATAGTTGACCAAATAACTAACGTTTGCCCGAACTCTGTCTAGTCAACAGTGGTTGACTACGCTAGTCGACTATTTGGAACCAGCCTACTGGGGTTGGTTGCTTCGCTGGTAACCAATAGCCGCGCGCATTCATAACGCTAGCAGAGAGCCAGGATCCAGAAGTTTTGCGATGACATTTTGACCAGCGTTTGATTAGAGACGTTCGCACGTTGCTATCAGTGCGCAGGCGTAAGGTACGTCACAAATCAACCACTAGTCGACCAATGGTCCTTGCCCGAACTTGGCCATTATTTGGAAGATTGGGGACGAACTGGTTAAAAAGTGACATAAATTAACAACATACAGCGTAACGGGCATACGCTATCCAGTCAGCATACAGTGTTGGGGTCCCATGTTTCATTCAAGGACATTCCATTAGTACTGAAGAAACATTTGCATGAATGTAAGTTGACAGATTTACCTACAACCGGCGCACTCCGGTCATTGGTGACCGTCTTCTTCAGCCTGGTCCCCTTGCTGATGTCCGTCAGCAGTGCCCCCCGGTCCTTCTGCGCCTTCTTGTTGAGTTGCGGCGGTGCGCTGAAGTTGGACGGGGGAGGGGGCGGGGGCGCTGGGGCTGGGGGTGGTGGTGGAGGCATACTGGTCGGGGTGGGGGTGTCTGCTTGCCCTGTATTGCGGAGACTTACCAGTCACCCGACCCACTGTGGAATCTGGTAGGAAAATAAAGGAATTTTAAATCTCTTAAGATTCATTTAACGTTTTCAAATCAATGTTTGCAATTTTCAAACGATCCAACAAGTTTCCATGGACCCCCCCGCTGATTTGGTCCGTGAACAGCTTTCTCTGTCAAAATACATTCGAATAGATTTAGCAGGTCTCACACTTTGTTATTTTGGGATCTGACTCAACAGGTGTTTCACGAGACTAACTCAAAGAGGTAAAGTTGGGGTCAAAGCAAAAATTGAATTACACATCTGCAAAGCATACAAACTTGTTAGCACTGAAATGAAATCTGCTCAGCGAAAAGTGATTACCAGCCAAAGTATCATAAAAGAACACTGAGTGTAACTGGTACTCGTCTCTTTTTTTCTCAGCGAGTAAACTTGCTATTATGTACTTAACTGTTCCAACATACATGTACACATACACCTGTACTCTACATCAACATATCATGTTTCATGTACATGTACATGCACAGACAATTCAATGAATATCAACGATACATGAAACTTGAAAGGTGTATCGGTACTTCCTGTATACGCCAATGGCTCCTACTGTTATAAAAATGTGTATAAATATAATATATTTGAAGTATACATTTGTATGGGATGACCGTGTGTGATACACACAATGCAAACAGTACACATACAGACTGTATACTATGTACATGATAATGTGTACATAATGTGTATACGCCTACATGTACTTTATCATGCTGCTTACATAATTATCCTTTTTTTTGACACAGCCATACGACAGTGCTCAAGGATGGACAAAGATAAAAAGCGTGCTCACAATTCTACATACACAGATCAATCTGTCAGAGGATATCCTGTGTGCCATACCCCAGAACTAATCAACTTTCCCCAGTCCAACACTTTCACCTCCTGCAAAGCAACAAAGGACTCTCGCCAGTCTAAAAACCAAACCAAAAAAATCCATCCACTGTATCGCTTTTTGAAAATGGTCTCCTTTCAGCTAATGTGCTTAAGAAAAAACTTGCTACCTTTCAGCAGGTTTGTTTATCGCATCTATCGTGAAATTGGTTTACCGAAGGCTTTCTAGAGGTTAGAAAGGCATGAACACAAGTCTAATTTTTCTTTCATACAGAGGAGTTATTGCTGTAGGTTCCCATTGTGTTTTCTGACGGAAACCCGATGGCCATGTAACAAGACTTTCACTTCCTGTCGAACAGACAAATTCAGGGTTCCAAGAGGAAAAGTCAAAGGTTGTAGCTTTGCATACATAAGGACACAAGAATTAAAACCAACTGAAGTATATTTTTTAGTCACAGACAAATTAAAATTTTGGTACACTTCTCATGGCATTTAATTAAACTGGCATCTTCCAGACAGATTCTTGCAACCGTTTTTACTTTGAAATCTGACATCTTTTTTTGCCAAATTTTAAATTAAAACCTGTCACACAAATAAAAAATAAAAATTATATTACAGATAATAATCTAGGCATATTTTGAAACCCTGTTTGTGAATTTGGACATTTTGACACAACGTTTAACTGGAGTTACTCTGTATCTAACATGCATACGATCACAACAAAGAAAAGGCTCCACATCTGATAGCACGACACCTGTAATGTAGGAAGTATGAATTACTCTAAATCCGCGAAAAATCTTTTCGTTAGTCAGCGAGCCACTACAATTGGCAAGAGAACAACTGCTTTATTTCTATTTATAAACAAATGTCTGACAGGATTTTGAAATACAAGCTAAAGCAGGAAAAAGGAAAGATCGAATTTTCAAGGGCATATTCTGTAAAAATCCAACGTTCGTCACATTATTAGTGATGTATCACATTCACTTTTCCAACAGCAGCTCATTAAAGGGGGAGGGGATTTGATAGGCGCATTAGTATTTTATAGCAAAAATTGTTACGCTGACCTATTTTAAAGTTTTGTGTTCATACATGTACAAAAAGATGTTAAAAAAAAAACAAGAAAAAAATGTTCTTCTTGTAGTCTGGTTCCCTGACCCTACTTCTGACGAAACAGACAATTTACAGACATTGGGAATTGTCAGGTCAGGGAACCAGACTAGCTTGCACTCATTCACGGATGTGCAACTGATTGCAAACAAAATGTGGACTAAATTTGGTAAATTGGGAGCAGTAATTTAAAAAGTATTTTTTCCAACGATGGTCAGCCGACCATTGTTGGAAATTGAAACAAAAATTCCACTTTTCTTGAAAATGACAGCACACCAGAAGCTATGATTTCACAGGATGCTTGAGACTATTATTCAAAGTTTCAGTCAAGTAAGGTATTTCATAATAATTGGGTAATTTTGTTTTCTGATGTTTGCGAATGTTGTATATCAAATTGAATTCACACCTGTAGATGTTTTTGCACATGGACACTTAAAACCTGTGTTGTGACGTGTATTTTAATACCAATTTCTAATTCTAACATGGGCCCGGCTACTTTACTGGGTGGAACAAAGTCCACTTTTGGGCATATCAAATCGGTGTTTATAGATGGGCCCTAATCAGTTCAAAGTGCATGCCCCCTCTGTAAATTATAACCGTTAGCTGTACATTCGAGCCTTGCATTTACCGGTTTGGTTCACTGTTTAAATTTTCACTGCCAATTGTAAACCAAAAATTGGCTGATTGATTTTTTCTGTGCATTTGTGCATTAATAAAGCCCCGGGGCAAAATTTTAAAAAAGAAAAAGAAATGGTTGAATAGTAAAAGGTTATTATGTTAGTTTTCCACTTCAAAATGTAACACAAAATTTAAGGATCAAATTTTAAAAATATTTTAAATATCCTCAAAAATAATAGTAAGTATCAGATAAAAATGTACAAGCAATTAAACACATATCAAAAAATATACCCCAATAATGGATGAAGAAAAGAACAGAACATGTTTACAAATGTTTTCAGCTACACCTACAGTACATGTAAACAGGGTTCTTTGTTTGAACAAACCTAAGCAGAAAAGGTTGCCGAACAAATTTTATGAACTAGCAGAAAACAGCTGGTAACCAGTCACAAGCAATATCCTTATGGTATTTTGGCTGGTAACCTAGCACAGCAAAACATTTGTGTGCTTAGCAAATTTGTGTGCCTAGCATCTCGATGAAACTGTTCCCCCCCCCCCACCAGTCACTAATGAGTTTTATATTTGGTTACTGGTCATTCTGTTTTTGTTTGTGAATGTTCTTAGTGTATATTACAAGTACATGTACAAATGTACACAGTGGTTGAGATTTAACCCAGATTGTCACTAAGGTCTACTGGCCGGGTGCGGACCAGTCGGTATTTTCAACAGGCCAAAATTTGCAGTACCGGTATGCCAGCCAAATCACAATTTGTACATGTATACTGTCCATTTGTTCACTTAATCTTAACCTTTTAGGCCCTTTTGGCTAGGAACCATCCTCAATCCTGCAAAATCCTCCAATTGCAACCATGTAAAAACTGGATTCAGCCTCAATCCTCCAAAATCATCCGTTAGGCTCTATTTCTTGAATTTGTTAAGTGGAGGGGTGACCATTGCCTCAATCCTTCAAATCCTCCAACAATTACTGTTAATGGATTGAGGCAGTACTGATGACATTCAAAAGCAGTGTGGATGATAGCAAGCATAATGCAGGGATCAATTATGCATGGCTGAACATAAACAATACAGCCTATGAACTCAACACAATGCATCCTTCAAACTCAACTGACACTTTTTGCCATTCAGCCTCAATCCTCCAAAATCCTCCAAAACCGCCAGGATTTTGGAGGAATGAGGGTTAACGTTAAAGATCCATAACAGTTGGTACATTGTAGGCTGTACCTCAAATCCTACAGATTCTTGCAAAAGCTCACTAAAACTGAAGGATTTTGAAGGACGTGGGAGAATTAGGGTTGGTGAACTGTTGAGTGTCAAGTACAACATACACAGTGAAATCTAATTAAGTCAAACTCTGATTTATAACTCAAAACAACTGTTAATTTAAACAAAAAACCCATAGCCTTCAGTTGTACTTTTAACAATGATACAACCCTTCTCAACTCAAAACTCTGCTCAAGTCAAATTTTGAGCCTGTTCCCTTGAGGTTTGACTTATCAAGATTTCACTGTACTTACAAAAATGAACTACTGTAAAAGTTGTATATGCACATGCACATGTACTGTATACACGTATGTTTTACTCACCACCCATGTCAACACGAATGACAAACAGGGGTCCAACAAGTGGGCCCAAGTACTGTGTACACACCCCTGGTTTAGTCTGTAATAAAACGGCCTTGGTGAGGAGAATACGTGTAGTACATGTAGCATGACAAAGGTAACAAATATGCAAGAATGGTTCACTGCACAAAATTTTCCACAACAGTGGAATCAAATCTTTCTGTCCGTACATGTTCATAAACAGTAGGCCTACTACATATGTATGTGTCTGAACAACACACAGATCTTAGATGTTGAGCACAATCAAATACTGATAAGGTAGTTTGTGTAATTTTAACAGAAATTATAAATTTTGCATTTTGGAATGCAAGTTGAGACCATAGAATAAATTTAAACAGAGTTGAATATAGACGTGACACCCCCCCCCCAAAAAAAAAACCCAAACAAACATAACTTTCTGTTCAGGAACTTACAAATCTGGAATGCCACAATTTGCTTACCAAATTGTAGTTTAATTGATCAAGTTCTTCATTATTGAATCTTTATGTATGATAAAACTATTTTGTGAACTGGGGTTGGATTTCAATTGATTCGGAGATTCTGAAAATATCTTTTGAATTGAATTGCAAAATATTAGGAATTCATGTTTGTTTTGTTATTTCTTTAGAAGAAAGTCACTAGTCTGGTGGTCCAAAGTTTACACCTAGAATTTGCATACTGTGGAAGGTTTCAGATGTCAGGAATCCAGACCTGCTGACAGCCGTAAAAGCAAACACAATTTATGTACAGTAAGTCAAAAGTCGTGTGTTAAATATTAAAAATTCGCAAGCCCATTCAAGAAGCAAATTACGAGGATTTTGAATCTTGCCTTGTGGTTTACAATGTAAAAGATCTGGAAAGGTTAAGGTTTAGTCATCAGATTTTAATTAAAAATCTATAAAACGTGAAAGAAAGGAATTTCGCCCAATGTTTTATAAATTATTGTTTACATTCTTTGGTGTGTCATAACTGTTGAACTGTTTTCAACAAAGAAATGTTGACTGTTTACTTAGCAACTTGTCACAAACAATTCCACTGGACATTCTTTGAATATCATGTCAAATAGGGCCAAAATGTAGTAACTTCATCTAAAGAAAACCAAAGAAACATAAATTGGTATATCCCTAACCCTGCTAAATGCAACAGAAAGCAACAAAACAACTTGTTGCATACTGTTGCATTTAGCAGGCAAGTCAAGTCTTTGTCCTTGTTGCATCTTGTTGCATTTAACAGGGTAACTGCTCATAGTGCCAAGGCGATGCAACACAATCCACTGTTGCATTTGGTTGCATTTAGCAGGGTAACTGCCAGACAGGGCTCTGGAGTGCTCTGAAACGTGCAAAACTAAATCAGGCCCACTTTACTCACACTTTAGCCAGCAAATTTCTCCAAAAATTCCACTGGGGCAAAGAACATGTCCTCAGTATTTCACCAACCAAGTTTGCAGACTCAATTCAATTTTCAAAGGAGACTTTTCTTCAATATTTTGCACATGAGAGGGAAGTCAAGTGATTCCAAAATGGGGCTAAAGACTAGACTGGTACATGTCCAACCATGGTCTAACTATTTGAAAAGACTGACCTTTTCATTCAGTGTCAATAGTCTGGTGGCTTTACTATGGAGAAATGTGTGGTAAATTGAGACTAGTTCCCGCTTTATGCCACATGTTTCTTAAATTCTTTTGGCATGGTTGATTGATGCAGTACTGAGAGCTGTGTTGGACTGGTTGTTTTAGGTGCCAGTCTATTTTCTTGTTTTGCATGTTTTCAATACCTTAAGTTTTGGGACTCTCATACACAGTATTGAGAGTCCCAAATTTTCGGACTAGGTAACTGCTTGATGCCAAGGCTGGTATGCACTGGGTTCACTGCACAATGCAACAGAATTGACTGTTGCAATTTGTCGCATTAGCAGGGTTCTATTTCAGCCAAGTTGCATTTTGTTGCATTTAGCAGGGTGCCTAGAAAAACCTGTTGGGGGTTAGGCCCTATAGTATGTGAAAATTGTTTACAGGTGTCACATGGAAAGTGTTCACTGCACAATGCAACAGAATCCACTGTTGCAATTTGTCGCATTAGCAGGGTTCTATTTCAGCCAAGTTGCATTTTGTTGCATTTAGCAGGGTGCCTAGAAAAACCTGTTGGGGGTTAGGCCCTATAGTATGTGAAAATTGTTTGCAGGTGTCACATGGAAAGTGTGCACTGCACAATGCAACAGAATCCACTGTTGCAATTTGTTGCATTAGCAGAGTTCTATTTCAGCCAAGTTGCATTTTGTTGCATTTGGCAGGGTGCCTGGAAAAACCTGTTGAGGGTTAGGCCCTATAGTACATGTATGTGAAAATTATTTACAGGTGTCGCATGGAAAGTGTTCACTGCACAATGCAACAGAATCCACTGTTGTAATTTGTTGTATTAGCAGGGCTCTATTTCAGCCATGCACATGCATTTTGTTGCATTTGGCAGGGTGCCTAGAAAAACCTGTTGGGGATTAGGCCCTATAGTGAAAAGTGTTTACAGGTGCCACATGGAAACTGTTATTGTCAGGCATGCAAAAGTGAAGTTACACAATGACAGGAAGTTACAAGCTTAGGCTTTAGACGACTTTGTACAGACTACAGTTTCAATTTTTAATGAAAGACTGACACTGGAATGAGGAAATCAGCTGATATGATGTTTACCTGTCTAAAGACTTCTTGAAAGTATACAAAATAGGTAGTGGCTACTGAATCGGTACCGTTTCCCAATTTTGCGAGGCTTTGCAACTGGCAGTTATTCTGAATGATGTCAGATCTTGACTTCATTTGGAATAACTTTATACACTGTAGTGTAAGGTTTTTATTTTCAGTGCCTGTCGAAGTGCCTCTGTGGTCTAGTGGATAACGGTGGTATGACTGGATGATTCTATTAGTTCATGGGGTTCGATTCCTATTTGGGACCCATTTTTTTTTGTTTTAACAAAATCAGAAAATGTTACGTCCTACTTCTCTGTGAAATAAAATTTCAACTTTTTTTTGTAACTCAGCGCTTTGGACTTAAATTGGAGGATTTTTTTTTTTCAAGGAAGTGTAGTCTGAGAAGCAATTCCCGACTGATGAATTGCTGCTGGTTCCAAAGCCTCATGAAATCGGGAAACCGGTACCGGTTCAGTAGCCACTGCCAACAAAATATTAGCAGGTAGGAGAGAAGAGGGAGAACATACTATAACAACCTGAAAGTGAAAGTGAAAACAAGAAGTTTAATACGAAACGAAAATAAACCAAAACAATGACGACAAGGAACACACTAAAAAAGTACAAGAGTAGTCTACTTTCCCCGCCATTATTCAGTCAGTAGGTTAATTTTCACCGCCAAGTCCTGCTATCACTTTACTTTGCACCACCATGACCATGGCACTGCTGCATTTATTTACGAAGTGGCTATCGTTACGGCACTCGTTGTTTAGCGCCCTCTACGATATTTTTTTGATACGCACGCAGGTATATAATTATTTGTTTCCACACGATTTTTCGAGCAGTGCGCCAGCTCAGCCGAGAGAGGGTAGGATTTTGTACCGCGAGGTTGCGGGTTCGAATCTCAGTTTTGCACTGGAATTTTTTTCCTTTTCTAACCTGAGGCTTTGGAGGATTTTTTTTAAAAGGGAAATAAAGTCCGAATTTCATAAAGTTCAAATTCACTTTTTTCCTTCTAATTTTATATTTTCTTGTCATGTTTTTTTTATAAAAGTTGCCAGGTTGCAGTCTACCGTAACGATAGAAAATGGGAAATGCGTTACGGCTGCCGTAACAATAGCCACTGCGATTTATTTATTCATGTAGGGTGGTCGGCACTTTTGGGGTTTTTGGTCCAAATATTACAAACTTGGTATCATTGGAAAGAGCTTCCAAAAAGAAATCCAATGGTACCAATTATAAGTTTATATCTTAATGTATGGTGAAGTTATGGTCCATTAAAGGGGCATGTCCAACCCTAATTATTCTGTCGGCATGGTGCGGGGTGTAAAATTAAAAAGAAAAATCCAAATCACCTCAAAATATTTGAGAAAGGTTTGGAAAACATTTTCAAGTTCATTTAGATGAGATCATATTATCCTAAATTTGTTTTCTCAGGTCCTCTTTATGGTAGTCCTTTAATAGCTGATATGTGTAAATTTCCTCGGAGCTGTCATATTTGAGGTTGATTTGAACCAGGATGGGAATCCAGGGACCTAAAATAGAAATGCATGGAAACCTTGCATTAACATTCACCCAACTGTGTGTTGAAAGTATTATACGGCCAAAAAAAGGGTTTTAACTTAGCAAAAGTACATCTTTAAAGTATGGAAGTATTTGATGACAGACAACATTTCTCCAATATGTAGGTTCCAGTGGGAATTAACTTTATATTTATTTTGTCCCCTTTTTTTGGCCTTATGCAGAGATGTATATTCAAAAATAATTTTAAAAAAACATCGAATCTTGTTCTTCATTATACATTGTACTCAGAACAGTCTGGTAAGACTCTGGACTAAACATATTCAGGAACTAGAAGCCTAGGGCAAAAAAGCCAAGACAAAAATAAGCTAATTTTAACATGTTTAATGCAAATTTAGTTCACGTTTGGAAAATATTCAGAAACAGTTGAAATATTACTATATTAATTTTTTTGGCAGAATTGTATATTTGTATAATGTAAATTTCCCCAATAAAGCAATCCACCAAATTTTACCCCAGTAATCACAGCATTGAAATATTATTGCTTCATGCATGCATAAAGCATAGAGGACGAAATAGGCAGCCATTGCATTGTGACACCGCCGCGCGCCATATTTTAATCACCTTGCTGAAGGCACCCCGACAACAAAACCCCCCAGCGTCAAAAAGCGTCATGGGAAACATAACAAAAAAACTAGTCACACAAACTCCTGAAATTCCACCCTTTCAGAAACTACCCCTTTTTTAGTCTTTCATGAACTCCTCATGTGAGATTTTTAACAATTTTTCGGCCCAAAAATCATGACAATCTGTACCTTTATTTCGTCGTAAAAAAATCTCCAAAATCGGAAGGCAAAAAAAATCGAGCGTACCTCTTCTTGGTATGAGTCGAAAGAGATTTTCTTTGGCTTTACTATGATGTCATTTCTATTTTTGTCCGACGAAATCTCGGCAAATCTCGCCACAAAACGTGAGTGGATGTCACGAGCTAAAATCAAGATGGCCGCGCCCAGGGCGACTGCGATCACAACTTCCCAGAAATAAACATCGATTTCAACAGCAGATTTCACGATTTTGCATATGGCGATCATCCAAAAAAAATATATCATTGGAAAGATCCATCATTTCTCTCTGTAATCATCTCATCAGAGAAACTGTTCCAGTTTCAAAAAAAGGTTAAACTGCGCCAGTTTGAAACACACTTTCGCACGCAAACAGATACAAATGAAGATCGACCCCGTTACGCCGACCTCCCTAATTCATGTTTATTGAAATCATCATGTAAATGATGAAGGCCTACAAACAACATGAACAATGCATGATGTTCATGTAGTTATGTACACCGTAAGTTTATAAATCACGTAAATTATTGAGAACTTTACATGTGGCGAGTTGTCTCTTTTTTTTCTCGACTACATGTAAACTATTAAGTATATGCTCAATTTATTTGATTACTAAATTTTTTTTTTTAAAGGGTTAAAACTAAAGTAAAACATTTAAAAAGGCGGCAACCAAAACAGTGATCAAACTTTTTTTATTTTACCGAATGCTGTCAAACTTACCCTTAAAATTCAGTTCTCAGGCGAGGTAAAAAAAACTACTTTCCTGGTCGTAAACTTCTCTCCAACATTTCGAATCTTTCAGATTAACTATGGTGTTAAAACTTTCTGAAATTACTTGTGCCTCCGCCTAAATTTAAACCCGGAAATCGTCTAGATTGCTAACCAACGCACTAAATACACACAGGCCGTAACGTGCATAGTGGTATGGTGCATACGCGTACGATACGACAGTGCAATGTATTTTGCATGCGAGTGAACTTCCTGATCTAAAAATGGCCGACAAGTGATGTGTCGATAGGGGTACCCCATATTGAGCAATTATGCCACCCCCTGTTTCTGTTGTTGCAGGCCCAGAATACATGCGACACAGGGAGAAAACTCCCAGGAGTCTTTGCTGGCGCTAATGTCAAAATCTGTGTTTTTACGCTTATCCCCAGACAACGGCTAATTTTAAGAAGTAAACAACAGCACGTTTTTCAGTGATTAATATTGGAAACCTTTCAGAAACATCTGTCTTTAGTTTCTCTCAAAAATACATTTTTTTATTGGAAATTCCACAGACAGTGAACGATGGCTAAAAAAAATGTAGGACTGATGAGGGCGCACTTACAAATTCTCGCGACAGTCATTTGGCAAATAAAGCAAATGAACTGCAAGACCTGAGCAGCAATTCTCAACATTCAAATTTTATTTTAAAACTTTTAGAAGCATTTGACTTCTTTTGTATTAAAAAAAAATGCACAACCTTGCATTATATATGCTGTCAGCCTACTTTAGCTTTACTAACATGCTGTCTTCGATCCCCGCCCGAACGACAGCACGTGTTTCGAAAGGAAACGATTTTTTTTTTCAATATGACTGCAATATTACTGTGAGCTTCCTGTGAAGGGCAGAAATTATTACATTACCAAGGAACACCATTTGTAATCAACACATTTTGATTAGCAACACGTTCCGGCACGATCTCCCTGACTACAAGTCATGACGCGACATCTTGATTAACCAAATATTTGCCTGACTTCGTAGTTGTCACTTTAATTGCCAATCCCCCGCCCCAAGAAAAAACCCAGCGGTTAATGGAAATGAATAAGCAAAACTTGCTTTAGTGAAATGGGTGTCAAAATGAACATTTCATTGGGTATTTTCAGAAGAATGTGCATGTTCGCAAATTACGGATGCTTGAAGAGCTCATTGTGACGATTAAATTGCCTGCAAAAGTCCCTAGCCTAGCCCCGTTAGTTCGCTTTGTTTTGAAGAACTGTATCCTTCAAACCAAGGCACTATTCCCCATTTGGTTTAATTTTTGGCCGAAATCAGCTCTTTCAGCGATTGCGGAAAATTGGTTATGTTCTAAAACCTAGACAATGCGTGTTTAGAAGATACTTTGCGGTTAATTAATATAGGGATTAAAACATTGCAAAATGAAATTTCGAAACAAATCAAACAGTATCATGCGCGCGGGCGGGATACAAAAGAATCACGTCAATGTAGGTTATTAATTTACGACCAAATTATTTTTTCCGATGAAATATTGACGTCGACATTAAGTAACTTTTAGTGACTGCTAATTATCCGTAAATTGGACCACTCAGAATTGCCATTCATTCGTGACCACGCTTGATGATGCTTAGAGCTAGGCCATGCACTAAAAAAAAATGAACCCTGACGACTGAAGTAATATTAAACCAATTAAATGATTAAATAATACTTAAAACACAATTTTAGTTGCATTTACGTTAATCTTTAAGTTTAAAAAACATAACATGTTAAAAGTGTATTGTACATAATTTATTAAGTTTCATCCACAGGAAGAAAATGAGTAAAGACATCAACATATAAAATTTAGTTAATGTTACATAAACTATTTGGTAATAACTCAAAAATAAATTCATCGTGTGCACTTAATTCATTTCAGTACTAAATACTTAAATCCATAACTTGTAGATGGAACGTGAAGTATTTATGTCATAAAAACACAACAAACCTAATTAAAGCTGATATCGATAAAAGAGTCCTTGATTATATAGTCCTTGATTAGGGCGCATAGGAAATATTTATATTCATTCCGGACCGGGAAATCATGCGTTTGCATCAAAACCTGTACTCATGTTGCGTCAGAATCATTCTGATAAATTACCAACTGGGCGGATCGTTTAATCGTTGTCACTGTCACGCAGTCAAATAAAGCCTCCGGTAAAACCTGGAAATTGGTTCCCTCTGCACAATTAAAGAAATCAATTTATCACTGGTGACAAGTGCATGCAGAAACTCACTTTCAAATAAGTTTATATGCTCGCTCAGTGATATAATGATTATGTATGTTTTTAAGTTAAGATACAATCATAAAATTGGATGAAATAAAATGTGGTCGACTGTTCACTGAGAAGTACAGACAATTTCTAATTGTATGTAAAATTTACTATTAGTTATCGTGTTGTTGTCGTGTTGAAATGGCCGGAGTTGTGTGGATTTTGAAGTGTCAAAATGTTTAAAGGGAAGATACAACATTTGCAAACATCAAAAAACGAATTGATCAAATTATCACAAAATATCTTACTGGATTGTTAGGGAATGACTGTATAAAGCATCCTGTAAAATCGTGGTCGGCGGCAGACCAGCGTTGGAGAAAACTGGCTTTTCTTCAAAAACTGCTCCAAATAGTTATTCTGAACTTTCTTTGCAAAGTTGATTACACACTTGTGAATGGGTATGAGCCTGCTAGACAGATTCTTTGACCTTACAATTCTCCAAAGTCTACAAGTTGCTCCATTTCATCTTAAGTGGGGTCAGGGAACCAGACTACAAGAACATGGTTAGTTTTCTTGGATTTTCCAGCATCTCCAAACCCAAAACGTGAAGCAAGTAAGTTTAACAATATTTTCTGTAACACACTTATCCTCCAGATCCATTTATTTCTGAAAATTGCAGCAAAAGCAAATGTTGTACATTCCCTTTTTAAAGAAATGTCACTGACTATGTACCAATCCGGGTGCTCTAACAATTCCTTCACGAAGGCCCCCTTCAATGGCGGAAGCATTGTGCTAGCTATTGTTCATATTATCCGTCACGAGTGGTTGGTTTGTACAATATCATGCACAATGGTTACTCCATTGAAAGGGGCCTCGTGATGAATATGTACAGTGTTCGCATGCGCGGATTCATCCATAATCAAAGGGACCCCAACCAAAGTGAACATGAAAACAAGATCTCTATGATGCCGTGTCTTTCCTCGTGTCTCCTACCAAACAGAATTTGTCTGAGTGTATTGTGAGAGCGCCGATTCGACAGCATCGAGTTGAGATGGAGAGATATGGGCAAGAAATTTAATGAACAATCCCGTCAAGATGTGAAAGATAAAAAGACAGGACTGGACTGAGTCTGTCATGGCAGTGAACACGCACTGGTGCGATGACATGTCAAATGTAATTGAAACGCACAGCAGGTGCTACACACAACCTGCTGGTTTTAATTGATTGCATATGCTTACAACACTATATCCTGTTCAGCTCAGTTTATTTATTTTTCACTTATTCAATTCATAAAGAAAAATTACAATTACAACACTCTCATAGGCCTATAGCAATAAGCGGAGGTGGTCTGCAAACAGCATCCCAATAACGTCGGGCTTTACGCATACTCATCCATCATTCTCGTTTTAACATCAGTTGCTCTCCGCATTTATAGCAAAACCACTTTATGGAAATTAATATGAAAGTTATCACAGAAACTCTAAGCCCATTATCTTCTGCATTACATAGCTAAATCTACAAGTTGTCAATATTCCATTACAAAATATAACGGATATCTTCCACAATTCGAGTCATGGAGCATGCACAGGCAATCAATTATACGGTTTTGGGGTACTTTTTCTAAGAGTGATTTCTGATAACTCTTTAAAGCGTCCATGCAATTAATTTTCTTTTTTAATGCAATCCTTAGAGATGCACACTTGTGTCCCATTTATAATCAGTTATCGTTTTGCCATTTTAAAGGGTCTTTTGGTGCCTTTTTTGGTTTTTATGCTAATGAACATTTCCATATTCATGAGCAAAACTGATGTCATTCCGGGCAGTAACCTCAATGTTACAGTTATTTCAGCACAAAGAATTGCTAGAATTTTGGATATTTTGCTGTCATAAATTTTCTTTTCTTTGGTGATCGTTCTTGTGTCTGTACATGGCAGTAAGCCAATGAGCAACCCTTTCTCACAAATGTTTTCAATAAGCAAAGTTTGGGTTCACAATTCAACCAATAAAACCCCTAAACTGAACAGTGTATTCCTGAAATGACATCACAGCAACAGCGCCCTCAGTTGTCTGGAAATGCACGGACAGTATAAAATGTTTAAAGAAGTGCACTTTTCAAGCAAATTAACCAAAAAGGGATGTCAAATAATTTGTATACATTTAAGAGGAGTAGAAAGTTACACAAAATGTTTTCCTAAGAAAAATTCATCGCATGGACCCTTTACAGAGTGGAACTAGGGACAACACGATTTAGGTAAAAATTCCTACAATTTCTGATTGAAACACTTTGAACAGGAATCACTTCAGTAGAAACTCGAGTGAAACCTCAGTAATTGCGATTGAATGTGTCCCTTTAGTTCCAGTCAGTGGTAGTGAATTTTCGCTCGAATTAAAAATGACGAATGTTCGTCGTTTGGAAATAAGAGTGCAATAAAAACGCCACAGTCTTGAATTTCATTTGTTTTTACTCGCGGCTCTTATTTCTCATTATTTTCTGATTGAAGAGCCAACCAAATGTCAACTACAAACCATTAAAGACACGTCCCTTTCAAAGAATAAAGCAACAATTGAGCAGGAAAATGATGGATGTTAACCATGTAAACATAATGTAAACCCCTCCGGATTAAATGGAATGAAACTGATCAAATATTGAAAACTTTGATGTGCATTTTCGTGTTGTTAGAGAAAAAACTGTTCGAGTCGCTGTAGTCGAGCAACTCGAGCTTAATGGTGATATATCACCCTGGTTTGCATGAGGCGTTTCACTTATTCAAACTGTTTCCAATACAAAAAAAAATCACTGCATTATGGACTGATGATCGATCAGTTTTAATCTGGAAAATGTTACTTCTCTCCTTTGTGTAAACACAGGTTCTTGATGAGAAAGTAGTATTGAAAATTTATGAACACGAATCTTGGCGCGTGCATAAGATCATGTCAGCGCAATCCAAGATGGTACATAGATGTTCTTTTGTAAGTCATTAGATATCATGTACATGCATCCACTTCTTCTCATTGTCTCCTCTCCACAGGTTTCTTCAGGCTTGCGAGCTACAGTGCCTTGGTTTCATTACCAGAAATGATTGATAATGAAAATAATAATAATAATAATAACTTTGTAGATCACCCGGTCATAATTTTTAAATTCCTTTTCAAATAAAACCTGTCCAGATGAAGTGATAAAGTCTAATTCGTCTTTCAAGAAGTATACATTTTACATAATTTACTTAACTACAGTCTTAATTGAGAAATTTTTGTTTCGAGGCAATATTTTCCCCCATAAATATCTTTATGTGCATTGTCGTTATAAAGCCTTAAAGATTTATACATGACAGGTTTTTTTGGCTTTGAGATGATAGACGACATCTGCAGTTGATCATGTCCACGTAGTGCAACAAGTGTGCCTAATTGTCTGCGACCCCTTACGACCGTCTCGGACGGTCATTACCGTAGGGTTAAACTTGGCGGGATGTCAGCGATGCTGGCGTGGAAATGCAAGCGTTTCTCGGTGTACACAGTGTTTGTTCAATTAAGAACTGAGAATTATTATCACCGTCTTTCTATAGGTGGGGAGGGTTTACCAAACTTCGACTCCCCGTTCAGTTTAGCTCAGGCACGAGCTTCACGATTTTAGGCCAATCAATTGGCAGACTCTGGCTCAGCTGAGGCCCATGATCTGCTTCAAATTATTAGCCAAAGGTTAGACCTATAGAGAATTTTTCATGTGGTGTATTTCTACTCACGAAGCAAGAAGTAAAGTCGGATCTGAAGATAAAATCGACGTTTGGTGAACAACCGTGGTCGACTGTGATCCAGCAAATTATGTGCAAGCGTCATAATAATAATGTGTACACACCACATGAGAGCATGTGACGAGTACCACGAGAACATGTGACGTGTACCACATACTGGGATAAGTTGTCGAATGTCGGAACCAAATTGGGTGATCAAAGCAGATGTACCGGATTGGGGCTGTCTGTATTGTTATTAGCCGTGTTGAGTTTAGGCTGGGGATGACTTCCACGCGTGGTCAGAAACAGCGCATTGATCAGACTGATCTGCGACAGTCCGTTCTCGATCCCGAGCGTCACTGTCGCTACGTCGCCGACCCTGTTCGACGCACGGCCGCGACCGACAATCAGGCACTTCACCGCGTGCCTGAACTTCTGGTTTTTGAACGTGTAGATGATGGGATTGGCGCAGGAGTTGACGAAGGCAAGCAAGAAGAAGGCTTGATAAGTTTCGGTGGCGAGGTAGTTCGGGTCTGTCATACCCAAATTGTAGGCTAGAAAGAGGACTTGGTCCCCGGACCAGCACAGAATGAAGGTGACCACGACAGCTAGCAGCATCTCGATGATTTTCCGGCGGGTGTTGAGCAGCGAGTACGCGGGGCTGTTGGGCGACTCGTTCCTGGATAAGAGCGTCCTGGCGTGCGCTCGCAAAGCCCGTATGGCCATCACGTGGGTGACGATCATGACAATCATAGGAACGAAGAACTCTGCGATGAAAAGCCCAGCACCGACGAACCCCTGGTAACCGACGGTCGGATAAGCCGAGATACAAACTAAAGCCACGGGGTCTACACTTACACAGTAGATATTGAAGGTGTTTAGGATGAACGACAGGCACCAAATACAGAGCGAGATGGTACGCGCGCGGTTACCGGAGAAAATCCTGCGGTATTTCAGAGGGTATACGATGGCCAAACAACGCTCCACGGAGACGAATGTTAGTGTGAAGACCGAAGCCACGATGGAGGTCCAGAGAAAGACATCCGAGTTAACGAGACGGCAGTAGGCGTGGCCGAGGGGTCTGTCCTCTACTCGGCTGAAGTAAGGTCTTGGGATGATAAGTACTGAGGTGAGGAGGTCCGCACAGGCGAGGTTTAGGAGGAAGGTGTCGGTGGCGCTGCGCGGGACGCGCCGGCCGGTGCGCCGCCCCGCACCGACGCCTCGCTTGCGAGCGTAGACGATGATCACGATGGTGTTACCGACGATACCGACACTGGCGAAGATGATACGAAGGATGTTCTTCCAGTCGAACGTGATGGGCTCCACCAAGAAAGTCATGGTTGCCGTTATGCGTGGTTACGAATAGTCACATCGTGATATCACGATCTCCTGTGCGTGAGGAAAGAGGAAAAAACGCTTAATTAACAATACAGTAAGGAGCACTCACAATTTTATAACGTGATGGGCTCCACCATGCGCGAACGTCATGGTTGCCGTGATGCGCGGTCACGAATAGTCATATCGCGATATCACGATATCCTGTGCGTGAGGAAAAGGAAACACTACCAATAAGCGATAAAGAAGTGCGCAAACAAAGCCTGAAAATGAGCAGTACTCCCCCATTATCAGCATATCCAACATCAACTTGGGATTTAGCCAAATTTTTTGAAGAAGGTAAAAGCCTCGGCAAATTTACAAAATAGGCCTATAGATTTTCTAGGTCCAAAGTAGACTCGGTGTTTGTACTCGCGGTGGGATAAATTAGCGAGTTACCGAGAAAAGGTTGACTTGTCAAATTGTTTTCAGAAGGCTACATAATTATTCCACGTCCGATCTGCGGTATTTGGTTTGGGTGAAGCATTCTATCAGAAGGAACCATCGATTTTTTTTCCTCCACAGTCTGTGGGATTCTTTATTTATTTAACATAATAAACTGCTTATCTAAATGACAAGCGTCATTTATCTTATATTGACAGACAGCCTTACATCAGACAAATATATTGGGAAAATAAGCAGCTCCATTTATTTAGCGATTCATGTTTGACCAATTATAGCAACGCGCATATCTAAATGGACAGCCACGTTATTTATCGTTACGTGTGTAAGCATCAGCTACATGTGTTAATCAAATGTTTTGATTTGGAACTTGTACCAACAACGTTGTTATAGTTGACTTTTTTTCTTTTTTTAAATCCTATTGAGCGAATTCATTTCACTCGTTTCGTCGTTTCAAACTCGCCTAAACAAACCGCCACCCACACTTCGAATCTTTCAGTCTTAATAATGACAGAGCATATACTCTTCGAAATGTTGAATTTTCAGAGGTTCTTCAAAAATCCATCTTGCACAAAATCGCAGAAGAGATTTACCATCGCTCGGTGCCACCGACAAATATAAATATACACCTTACGAAACAAGACAAAGCAAATCTAGTGGAGCTGGCCTTAGAGCACACAAAATTATGTTCCATCAGAATGGTTACTCGCTCTTTTCACACTTCCGCCATGGGCGTGCAGAGCCTCGGTCTGGCAACTTTACACAATAAATATAGCCGGCTCAGTGATTCCCGCGTCGGGGTTCAGATCACTGAACCGGCTATTTTTATTGTGTAAAAATGCCAGATCGAGGCTGTACATGCCCAATGGCGGAGCGTGAAAAGAGCGAATTCACTGGTAAATCTTTTCATGCATCTGGTCTATACACAACGTGCAGTAGTTAGCCCATGGCGCTACCTTATGTCACAGGTCCGCACGGGATCACAAGCGCTGGTCGGTCGGGGAGTCAGTCAGTCAGTCAGTCAGTCACTCGGGGAGTCAGTCGGGGAGTCAGTCAGTCTGTCAGTCAGTGAGATAGGTACAAACAGGATACTCGGCTGGCCCTCTGGCACTGCCAAAGACATAAGAACGGTCGAGTACTCACCTAATAGTTATTGCTGCACATCCGAAGCACAGTCAGACAGGACTGCATCCCAACATGACAAGTCGCATTACACTTTTGCAAATGTTGTCTTCAGAAGATTGCCAACGAAAAAAAGGAGAGGCGGACCTAAAGCACTCACGCATTGGGATATCAAATGACATCGAACGACGAGCATACGCAAGCCAACACGCATAGCTCCTTCGCCAAACACAGAGGCGCGCAATGGCTCGTGTGTTACCATGGTAACCTCAGTAAAAGAAATGGGATGCTGCAGACTACATCCGAGACTTTGGCATGTCGGAGCAACTGATACATTTTGTGCAATTGTTATTACAAGCACGGAAGTGTTGATTCTTATCTTGAAAGCTGTACCCAAACATGAGGGATTTTGATTGGCTGATCAAGCGATGACGTTTTTCAAAGTCACATTCCGATTGGCTACTTTCTAATCACCATATTGTTTTGGCGCGATAAAGATGGCTGGAAGATGGCCGGATGGTTAACGCAGAACGCCGACAAGGCACTTTGTTTTGTTATAGTTTGACATGGTTCCGCCACATGTCACCTGAGTTGAAGTCCTGATTTTTTCGTTCTCGTGGTTAATTAGACACGAGTTCTTAATCGAGATCTGATGGCCGTTGTCCAGCTTGAGTACACGGACGAACAAGTTCGTAGAAACCAAAGCAAATAAGCATAGTAGGGCTCATTTCCTTTGGCGATCTGGCGCGTTTGAGGGTCCCGAACAACTAATGACCGGACATTATCTTTTCATCGTGATAACCTTATACAGAGGTTATCAAGATTGTTGTTGTCAAAGTATTTGTTAATGATTGATAGTTTCAATCTGCAGAAATCTGACATAAACATTTATCGAAAAGCTTTTTTTATGCAACAAAAAGGAAACAAAAAGCAGAAGCAGCGATCTGAAATAAAATGAATATTCGGTGATTGAAAGGGCGACCTCTAGAGATAAAGCTTTGGAGTTTGCTTAACGCCACACGGCGGTGCGCGTGTTCGAGGCCCGATACAGACTTTTATCTTGACCACACGGGAGACGGTGGGACGGCCTGGTGAGCAAGTAGCCTGTCCGTAGTGTACGGGTGGTATCACCAATGTCGTCGCGGTACCAGCCGTGCTATAATGTTGCGTTGCTACGAATTAAAATTGTGAATAATGTTCTCACGGCGACAGAGGCATGCGCATGCTCCGGGAGGGTATTGACCGAACGCCTTCCCATGAAGTACTGGCTTAGCAACTGTCGAGATAAATCTTTATTAATAGTGACATCGTGATGACCATTATGCGGTAGAGTAATATGTCTGAACGTGAAACCATTTTAATTGTTTGTAGTGCGTGAGATGTCTCACCTATTAACGAAGATGACAACATTAAGTGGTTTTTCGTCAAGTTTCACCTTATGGCGGGTCATTCCTGTACACGCTCGCGCATCACACACACGTTAATATGTCACCATGGGCCATTTATTAAGTGAATCGTGTATTTGGCTAGGGCGGTCGGATCAAGTCGTGCGTGTAGCAATGGTGCCTTACTAGATACAATCAACTAGATGGAGTGCGTCTGTCAAGCGTAAAGAGCTACAGTCTTTTATGTTTGGTTGAAGATTAACTCGCAATCATCCAAACACTCGCGAGCGGCAGTGTTTAGATCCCTAAAATGGCTAATGGTTAAAAGGCGTGCATTAATTAGAGTTCAATTTTATTTCAAATGCAGTTCCGTCTTTAAATTAATCAAATCTTGAAATTTAAAAGTAGGCCTCATATTTTGACGGTAGATAGGAGCATGCGCATGTGCACGGGAGGGTATGCTTGTGCTGCCACCAAGCGTCTCGATTTTTCCAGTGGGTTTGCTCATGGGCCCTTCAGTTCTGCAAGGTTCACCCACAATCCCATGCGTTTCCAGACACAATGATTCATTGACTCTTGATTTACCCATCGCTCTCTTGCTGCATTGTTCTATGGGCACGTTCCCCCTGGTATCCATCAACTGAGCAGCATTGATCTCCAATAGTAAGACAGCACATGGGAACCAGTGAAGGATAAATTGTTCGTGTGTATATAGTGCCCTCACCTGGACGGAAAAACTCCAAGTGCCCTTTGACGGTGCAATTACCATAAAACTTTGTACCCCGTCCGTCGTAGAATGCACCGGATGTATTTAACAGCTAATGTTAACCAGCGACCTCTACAATCAAAAGATCGGATATGATTGCAACAGGAGGATCAGGAGGAAACGGCCGTGAGCGACCTTTGACGCCAGATATATCATGTAAATACACATGTTTTTGGCGTACGATTCGAACGTACGTGCTCAGTCCACAGAAACCGTTTCCCTCATGCACAGACAGCAAACTCTTGCTGGCTCTTCTAGTGTTTATTCAAAACCAAATTTCCGGCCGCGCTGCTCAATTTGAAGTTAAACATTAACTTCACTTACGGATCACAAGTTAGGTGTCTGACGTTGAACTATTTCGATGATCAAAAGACAGACTGGGCCATGGGAGAGGCTCCGTGTTTCAGGAAATCGCTCGCTAATTTATAAGTAATTACAACCCGACTTGATGATGCTTGCTCTGTCATTATCGGTGATGACACGACCTAGAAGTGTGTTTGATTTTGGGTCACGCGTGTCGACAAGCAAACTCAAATAATATACGGTTATGTTCCTCATACAAGCTTCAAGATTCTTTTTAATGGATGATTAAATATTAGTGACATTGACGGCAAGAAGAGGTAATGTGTTATTTAAAATATTATATGTCAAGATTCTTATTATGGGTTTAAAAAAAATTCCTCTTGATTAAAATGGCTCAGTGAGAGGTCAAAGTCATTACCTGTAATCGCGTCTGGTAAATAATGCCAAACGCTGGTTTTTTTTGTATCCAGCGCGACCGTAGTATTTTATAACACTGGTTCGCCGGAAATTACTCCCGGATTTACCAATCAATCCTTGGTCCTTCATTTGTCTGACAATACAATTTAAAAAATAAAGCGTCGCATAATCATTCGGCCAATCGAAAGAGTATTAATAAACACTTAAATTTCTGTTTCTTCTTCCCCGTATAACAAGTATTGCGCCCTCTTGTGCCGAATTGAGCACAAATAGAAATGCGAAAACTGCGGCAGGCCTCGGCCTCCTGGACATAGAATTGCTTCGCGTCACCACACATCAGTGCCAAAAGGCTGCATGCGTCCATTTTGAGTCCAGCTTTTGGAACATCATTGTGCAATAAACTCTGTGCTGTCAGCAAACTCGGAGAGCGCCCTCTTTTGATTTAAAGAGCGCTCATCAAGATCTTGCGCACATTCCATACCGGATGGGATTTCTGTTTCATTGCGGACCATGTGGACAAAATTTTGAGCATCGCATAATGCAATCCGACCGTTCGTGATTCGAACGGAGTCTGAGCGAGTGACGGGAATTGTAAATTTACATCACAGATACT